AGGAGATTTTATCCATAAATTATTACAGGAGTTAATTTCAGTAAAATTTGGTTCAAATACTTGAAAAAACAATGTTTACTCAGACATTAACTAACTGATCTCAGAGAAGCAAATGACAAATTCTGCCTGAAAAATATATTTTTGACTTGAGGCCCTGATGTGTGTTTCAGACTTACAGAGCAGTGTAATGAACAAAGATGAGGTATCTAATGTCACCCTGAGCGAAGGTCAGTCTCTGCTGCTTCGCTGCAGAGTTACAGGATACAGTCTGAGATCACCTGTGTGGGAGAAAGGAGGAAAACAGCTCAATGCCAGGACATTATCATGTAAACCAGAGAAGGAGGAGGAGGTACAGTAATGTCCTGTAATCAGGGAGAGTTTCCTTAAACTTTCTTGTTATGTTTGTCTGAAAACTGACCGACCTCTTTAATATTCCTCAGTCTGAGACACAAAGTACTTCACTGATAATCATCCTGCAAATGATCATTATTATGGGGTTTTTCTTCCAGATGTGCATTAAAAATGACTCACATTTCGGTGTTCAGATGGCCTACCTGTCCATCAGATCAGTGAGAGAGGAGCACAGCGGCACATACACCTGCACGAGTGCAAATAAAAACTCAAAGTCTGTTCATGTTCATGTCTCAGGTCAGTAGACTTCATTTCATGTCATTATTATTTGAAACTGTTCCCACTGAATAAATCTGGTTTATTCTTGTGTTTCCTCAGATGAAGGTTTCCTCTCTGCACAGCTGGATGAGACCAAGATCATATCAGCTCAGGAGGCATCCAGCACCTGCTTGCAGGCCACTGTTTCCTACCATCCTGTTCTCCAGTACTGTTCCTGGGAGACTCCTGACAAAAACAGGACTAAATGTGTCAGGGAGACATGGGTAACACAGCACAGGTACTTCAATGATGCAAACTGTCATCATGTAGAAGTGTAAAATTACCCATTCATTCACGTTTTTCATGATCAGTGTAATCATGTGATATGAGGACTGTAATGAACTGTTTCTCAGGACTGTGAAGCTTTGTGATCCACTCATATCAGGAGATTATAAGTTACACCTGGAGGCTGGAGGACAAAAGGAAACAAAGATCATATCAGTGTGTGTTGGAGGTGGGTTAATGTAGCCTTTGTTACAGTCGTATTATTACTTAAATTTAATTATAATTTATATTTAAAATGTGAGATTGTTTGAGATCATCTGATTTTTGTTCCAGATGAACCAAAGTTCAACTTCTTGTTTAATAAGGATGATGGTACCCTCGACCTTGAGACTGTCAGTCTTGTGCCAGCAAACTATACCTGGATGTTTTGCTCTAAGTCCAATGACAGGTATGATTACCTGCACAGCCGTTCAGCTCAGAGAGCATTTTAGCTCTGATTATTTAAACTCCTTTTATTTTGTTTCACTGCAGCTGTGAAACAGACTCATCCTGGGATGAGGCCCCAAATGCATTTCAAATAGATTCTGATGTTTCCTGCAACAAGCCGATCAAGAGCTCAGTGAGCAGAGACGTGTTCAAAGGAGACCAATTCAAGTTTTGTCTGACAAACCCAGTTGGCTCCTGGTGCAAAAACCATTACATGATCATCCCACCTACACCCAGTACTCTATAGGTAATAAAGAGTATTTGCATCAGAAAATATTTGATGAAATTCATTTAAAGCTGTCATGCTCACATTGTCGTTTGTAGGTAAACAACCTCAGGATATCATATTCCTGCTGAAAGCAGGCAATATAACTCTCTTTCTCGTTCTGGTAGTAGTCAGCACAGTGCTCATATTCTTCATCAAAAAGAAGGTAAATATATTCAGCTTTTTTAACAAACACAAATAGAAGAGGGCACCAAGTCATTTGTCTTTGCAATATAAACCTCAGTATCAGCCTTCGAGGGAGATTAATTGAATCTTTCATGGTTTTTGTTTGTTTCATAAGAGTTTGGTATCTCTGTCACAGTAATGTATTTGTGTAGCACTTTTTAAAACACAGTTATAAAGTGTTTCGCACTCAGGATAAAGCTGTCATATCCAACAATGGTCATGTTTTCAGAAGACTGTGTTCAGTTTTTAAAAGGTTTATTTTACAGAATTTCAGATCAACGGGGGAGAGTCTGGAGCTACAAGAGTCTCGGGTGAGTGTGTGTTCACCGAACGAGAACGGTCTTCTGCTAGAGAAAAACAGGTGAGAGATATTTTATTGGGATGAGGATTTGAGGTTTTACTTGAATATTTTTCCAGAGTAGCTGGAGGAGTAAGTAGAAGGCCAGAGTCTAAGGATTCACTAAGGATTCAAACAAAAATTACAGAGATAGTTTACTGCAGCCAATGCCACAAGAACCTGACAAGGAGAGTAGGCTTGAGCTGCTGCTTAAATACATGGAGGTAATAAACTGATGTGAAACAGGTGTGTTGGCTACAGCAGTGCCAACCTAGTCTCCACCTAAAAGCAGAGGAAAGAGGAGACACTACACTCGTTAGATATAAACTATGGTCAAAAATAATGCGGAAAGATGAAGGAAAAGCTAATCTGTAAAAACGAGTTTTCAGCAGCCAGTTAAGTTCAGCCAAGCTGATTGCCAAACAGACGATAAGAAGACATCTCATTAGTGATAGCACTGAAGCATTCATGGAGGTGGGAGAGGCTGCTGAGGCTAAACAGAAAAGCCCAGCTGTGTGTTGTCAGCATAGCAAATGAAAGCAGACGTGGTCCAAGGACTGAACCCTGAGGGACTCCACATATGCGAGAAGCACAAAAGCACCATTATCATTGAGTCATACTGCCTCTTTTGTTTTTCAGCTCCATCATCCAGCTCTCAACCAGACCTCCTGCCGCTACACACAGCAAATCCAGCATGTCCAAATTAACACTGTCGGATTTGATTTCAACACTATTAAAGTGTCTATATGGGTCCACACCAGAGAGTAAAGGAACTGCTGGCTGGTCTTTACTTACACATCTGAGTCAGACATTTAAGGAGCTGAGGACGATCTGCAACCATCAGATACAGAGTGATCACCTATATAACATTTTATGCATACAAAATGTTACACAATAATAATCTCTTAAAATTTAGAGAAGAATTGATTTGCTTTGCATTTTATTCAAATATAATAAGCATTTTATCATTTCAGGTGGAACTGGGGAAAACATATTTAGCCTACGTTTATCATACTTTCCATAATATATTACAGTCTTTATCTATATACTCCAACTTGAACAAAATGCATGAAGGAAGTGAGGTCTGAATGTGAACAAAATTATTTTTGTATGTAAGTTTCATAAGATGTAGTTTTCTTTAACAGGGTTGTAAATATTCAAAATATAAATATACATAATATATCTGGGTATATATATATTAGGGCTGTCAAATGATTAAAATTTTTAATCAGATTAATCACAGCCTAAAAATTAATTAATCATGATTAATCGCAACTCGAAATATGACCAAAATGTGTGCAAACATACGGACAGATAGCGGATTTTCACACACTTGTTAGTGTTATTTAATGCTAAGACCACGCTGAGTGGCCTGCGTTCACTCAGCGTGGTCTGACGTAGGCTGGGTGTTGTGCTGGAAGCGAATTAATCACAGCCTAAAAATTGATTAATCGCAACTCGAAATATATGTGTATATGTGTATATATGTGTAAAAATCGGGACAGATAGTGGTTTTTAACACACTTGTTTGTTTTATTTATTATTAATTGTGAGTACAAGCAGTACAAGCAGAACAGGGCTTCAAATAATTGTGAGGGATTTTTACTGAATGTTTTCCACCCGTTTAAATCTAGCACATTGTTTTATCCATATACATCTTCAAGTTCACAGAACATAGGCCTAATTCAACAGGCAAAATAGAAAAAATCTCCAATCATCCTTTTGGGTAAGGTAGATTAGTGCAAAAAAATATGAACAACAGTGAAAAGTATTGTTTAAATCACATTCAACCATAGAACAAGCTCTAAACACACGGTCCTCTGGTCTACTCATCCTTCAGCCAGTTGCTGAGACAAACCAACTTGTCCACGTTCTCTGAGTGCAGAGCAGACCTCTTCTTGTTCACAATGTGCCCTGCTACAGAGAACAGCCTCTCACAGGGCACTGTGGAGGCAGGAGTGGCCAGGTATCTGCGAGCAAGGCGGGCCAGCTGGCTGTGGGCTCCTGCATGAGCTGCCCACCACTGTAAGGGACAGTCCTCTAAGGCAGTGCAGGGCTCTGCTCTGTAGCGCTGTATGGCTCTGTCCTGCTGTACCTCCTCCTCTGACTCAGAGTCAGAGTCCATCTGCAGCAGGCTCAGCCTCTTCTTGGCTGGACCTTCTTCTGCAGTGTGTGATCTTCTAGGAGAGTCTTCATGCAGCATGCCTGCCAGTGTGGTCCACACTGCTTCTCTGTCAGTCTTGGGCACACTGCGTAGGTCTTTAAAACGTGGGTCCAGTGCAGTTGCGATCTGGAGCCATGCATAGTTGGTATGTTCCTGGCGGGAAGCAAGGTCTTCCTTAAACTTCTCTTTAAACCTCACCACATATGCAGGGTCCTCATCAGTTACTTCCATGACACGGCGCAGGTGGCAGAAGGCTGGTAGAACTACAGAGCAGGAGACGTAGGCCTCTCCTCCCAGCAGTTCAGTCACATATCTGCAGTGGAATACACACACACACACACAGATAAGACAGCAAATTAAAAAAAGCTTTTTAATACTAGGTAATATTAATAAAATATTTGATTTCATTTATTTTTTAAATAAGACATTTTCATAATAACAAAACTGATTTAAGATGTATGTTTGATACATTTAATCTAAACCTACAATTATGGTCACAATGACAGGCTCACCTGCAGGGCTCTAGAAGTGTCTCCAGTCTCTGGAGTTTGTCCCACTCTGGAGGCGTCAGGAGGACAAGTTTATGCTTTTGTTTATCCAGAGTCGCGGTTACTGCAGTTTGGTTGCGGATCAAGCGCTTCACCATCTCCAGCGTGGAGTTCCAGCGCGTAGGCACGTCCTGGGCCAACGGCTCCTGCTTGCGCCCCAGTGACACCTGCTCTGCGTTCAGCTCTGCTGTGTTTGCTGGGCTGTGCTTAAAATGGCCAACAATTTTGCGGCATTTGGCCAGCGCAGTGACAAAGCCACTGTCTGCGAGACTCACTGTGATGCATCTCTGTAGAATGTGCGCGGTACACGGCATGTGATTGAATGGCATGATGCGAGCCGCGGCGATCATATTGCGCGCACTGTCCGTGCCTACTGTTGTCACCTTCTCCTCAATTCTCCACCTGCGAGCAACAGTCTGGAACTGCTCTGCACAAGCCTCCGCAAAGTGCCGCTCTTCCGTTTTCATTATAGTCAGCGCAAAGGATGTCAGACCCCAGGCTTCAGTGATTAAATGCGCAGTAACTCCCAGGTAATTGTCATTACTCAATGATGTCCAGTGGTCTCCTGTCAGAGCCACGCATTCTGTGTGAACTAAAGCCTCTTCTTTTTTCTTTTTCTCCGTTTCATACAGTTCGTGGATTCGAATTGTTATTGTGCTTCTCGCTGGGGGCTTGTAGGACGCGTCCTGAGATGCAACCTTTAAAACATCCGCAAAGCCCTTGTCCTCCACAATGCTTAGCGGTCTACAGTCCTTTGCTATCCATTTGGCTATATTGTCGGTCAGTTTGTCCAAAGAAGACTTACCGAGTGGCCTGCGTTCACTAAGAGTGGTCTGACGCAGGCCGGGTGAAGCTGCTGCCCCGACAAACGCGTGTTTGGCATTAAGGTGGTATTTTAAGGTCGAATTTGAACGGTGAAATTGAAACTCTTTACTACAGTGAGTGCAAATTACAACGCGTTTGTTTATTGTCCCATCTATGTTCTTCTTGTATTTAAATTCCCCATCCAGAAGGCCATCCTGTTCCTGCTTCTCCATTTTCAGTGGCGCGGTAAACAAATCAAGTGGAATTATGGGAGCGACTTATCTGCGTGTTGCGCTAAATAGTTAAATATTCTAACGTAATTAATTCCAAAATTTAATTATCGCAATTAACGCGTTAATTTCGACAGCTATAATATTTATATTTTGTAATATTTTTTTAATTGGCTTCATTGACTGAATATTAGTCATACCCTTATCCTTTGAATATAATTATGAATGCCGAGTTTTATTTATTTATTTATTTATTTATTTTTAGGCATTATACCTGAAGTACAATATGTTTTATTCATTAAAAGAAAAGCTTGTAATCATATATTTGTGTTAATCATGTGTATGTGTCTATTTTATTTTGGTCCCAAGAGAAAAGCAATCTAACTTTTATGAGAAGGTAAGAAGTGACTTTTATTCAAGTCAAAGTACTTCGCATCAGAATGTGTGAAACATGATGTCGTTTACATGTGAAGTCACTCGTCGATTTCTACAAAAGGATTGAGAAAAACAAATAACAGAAAACGAAACTGTACCATTTCCATGTAGGAGGGGCAGTGAGGCAGACTTCTCCAGATTAGGCAGCTTTGGGTGAGCAGATACTTTCAACGTTTCAACTTTGTTTGTACTGATCTTTGCTCTTTTCCTGTGTTTCTAGTTAGAGATGCTGTATTCCGTCTGTGAAGCTAGTTTATCTATCGGATGTATGGAGAAAGCGTCCCGTTATGATCCAGCTGTGATTAGTTACTTGTGTTTGTTTTTCCTTTGATATTATTAACTGTTTTGTCTTGTTCGTCGATATTGCTGGTGCACTGTGAGTGTGCGAGGACCCCTCCATCAAATCCTGCCCGTCTGGTGCGCAATATCCTCGCTTCTTGTCCTGTTTTTCCACCATCATAGTGACTAGCCCTTTTCATTTCCTTGGGATGAAATTCTCATATAGGTGGCGCTGTTGCAGCAACAAATTTTCCTTTCAGAATACGAGAATGAAAACTTGGAGGCAGAGAAACATGATTGCAGGTGAGTGAGAGTTATTCATTCCTGCACAACAACAATCGAAGGTAATCACAGACTTGCAATCAAGGTTTGTGTAGTTGGCCAGAGCTAAATTTTGAGTTATGAAGCGTTTTGTTAATGACACAGTTGTAGTTCATAAATACAGTCTGACTTAGAAAAGCAATAACTTCTTCTTAATGATGCATTTATGTTCCTTTTTTTTTTTGGTTTTGTTTTTCCCCACTGGTGTATATACATTTGTTTTGATTTTCAGTAATATTTAAACTAAAGATTCAGTTTTCTATGTCTCCAGCTGTTCTGCTGCTGTGTGCTGTCGGAGTGCTCTGCTCTGATGATGTAAAGACTCCAGTCTGTGTACCCAGTCATGAGGTAAGAGCTGTTTTAACTAAACTCTGATCAAATAACTGAAAGTGATACTGACAATGAAGTCTTAAAGCAGGGAATAGTTCTGAGATGACATAAAATGAACTATTATTCTTTAATAAACCCCTCTTGACCAGTCTGAAATATGCATTAATTGCACATATACATATCTGGGTAAACAAGACACCTATAGTCTAGATAAGACAGAAGTGAACACCCATTTTCATGCTGTGCATTGACTCTTTAATGTTTGTGTAGCTCCAGCTTACCTTCGCCAATGGCAGTGTGTGTGTTATGGTGTACAGGGCAGCAAAAAGCACACAGCAACAGAGAGGGAAATAGTGCTAGCTGCTCTTTCTGTAATTTCCTGTAATCACTTTGTGTCATTCTAATACATTTTGAAGAGGTTTTAGTACAAGTTTTGTTCAGGTACAAAATATAAGCTTCGTTTGTTTTGTTTTTTAAAGGAAACATTTAATCAGGAGATCAACTTTTTTTATGTGTTTTCGGGAAAATCTAATTCAGATCTTGCCAGTGGTGATGATTTTACTGCTGCTAAATGAAGGAGGATTAAATGTTGGCTCTTGTTCTTCAGGCAGCATGTTTGACACCAGCTGATTATCTGAATCCATCTGGTCCCATCACCAAAGTGTTAGCAGTGGGTAAGAAACTCATCATCTCCCTGGAGGGCCTCTCTGGATCTCTTGTCTGCCACTGGATCAGAGGAGAAGACAGAGTAATGACAGCGTAAGTTTCTGTGTTTCTGTTTGGGTGCTTTATATTTCTATGTATTTAAACTGAGATGTTTCCTTTAACCTCACCAGAAATGGGAGTCAGTCCATGGTCACATCACAGCTTTCTGAGACAGATTCAGGGGAGTACACTCTGACCTGTGAATCCAACAATGTCACCATGTTCTCCACGACTGTGATTCTTCATGTAGTAATGAGCAAACACAAATAGAAGAGGGCACCAAGTCATTTGTCTTTGCAATATAAACCTCAGTATCAGCCTTCGAGGGAGATTAATTGAATCTTTCATGGTTTTTGTTTGTTTCATAAGAGTTTGGTATCTCTGTCACAGTAATGTATTTGTGTAGCACTTTTTAAAACACAGTTATAAAGTGTTTCGCACTCAGGATAAAGCTGTCATATCCAACAATGGTCATGTTTTCAGAAGACTGTGTTCAGTTTTTAAAAGGTTTATTTTACAGAATTTCAGATCAACGGGGGAGAGTCTGGAGCTACAAGAGTCTCGGGTGAGTGTGTGTTCACCGAACGAGAACGGTCTTCTGCTAGAGAAAAACAGGTGAGAGATATTTTATTGGGATGAGGATTTGAGGTTTTACTTGAATATTTTTCCAGAGTAGCTGGAGGAGTAAGTAGAAGGCCAGAGTCTAAGGATTCACTAAGGATTCAAACAAAAATTACAGAGATAGTTTACTGCAGCCAATGCCACAAGAACCTGACAAGGAGAGTAGGCTTGAGCTGCTGCTTAAATACATGGAGGTAATAAACTGATGTGAAACAGGTGTGTTGGCTACAGCAGTGCCAACCTAGTCTCCACCTAAAAGCAGAGGAAAGAGGAGACACTACACTCGTTAGATATAAACTATGGTCAAAAATAATGCGGAAAGATGAAGGAAAAGCTAATCTGTAAAAACGAGTTTTCAGCAGCCAGTTAAGTTCAGCCAAGCTGATTGCCAAACAGACGATAAGAAGACATCTCATTAGTGATAGCACTGAAGCATTCATGGAGGTGGGAGAGGCTGCTGAGGCTAAACAGAAAAGCCCAGCTGTGTGTTGTCAGCATAGCAAATGAAAGCAGACGTGGTCCAAGGACTGAACCCTGAGGGACTCCACATATGCGAGAAGCACAAAAGCACCATTATCATTGAGTCATACTGCCTCTTTTGTTTTTCAGCTCCATCATCCAGCTCTCAACCAGACCTCCTGCCGCTACACACAGCAAATCCAGCATGTCCAAATTAACACTGTCGGATTTGATTTCAACACTATTAAAGTGTCTATATGGGTCCACACCAGAGAGTAAAGGAACTGCTGGCTGGTCTTTACTTACACATCTGAGTCAGACATTTCAATATCTGAGAAGGATCTTCTGTAACCATCAGATACAGTTACCACCCATATATCATTTTATCCATACAGCATGTTACTTGATAGTCTTCTCACAATCATTTAGAGTAAAATCGAGTGTCTTTATCTTTAAATCAAATATAGTGAGCATTTTATACTTATTGCTGGAACTGGATAAATCATATTTAGCCTACGTTTATCATACTTTCCATAATATATTACAGTCTTTATCTATATACTCCAACTTGAACAAAATGCATGAAGGAAGTGAGGTCTGAATGTGAACAAAATTATTTTTGTATGTAAGTTTCATAAGATGTAGTTTTCTTTAACAGGGTTGTAAATATTCAAAATATAAATATACATAATATATCTGGGTATATATATATTAGGGCTGTCAAATGATTAAAATTTTTAATCAGATTAATCACAGCCTAAAAATTAATTAATCATGATTAATCGCAACTCGAAATATGACCAAAATGTGTGCAAACATACGGACAGATAGCGGATTTTCACACACTTGTTAGTGTTATTTAATGCTAAGACCACGCTGAGTGGCCTGCGTTCACTCAGCGTGGTCTGACGTAGGCTGGGTGTTGTGCTGGAAGCGAATTAATCACAGCCTAAAAATTGATTAATCGCAACTCGAAATATATGTGTATATGTGTATATATGTGTAAAAATCGGGACAGATAGTGGTTTTTAACACACTTGTTTGTTTTATTTATTATTAATTGTGAGTACAAGCAGTACAAGCAGAACAGGGCTTCAAATAATTGTGAGGGATTTTTACTGAATGTTTTCCACCCGTTTAAATCTAGCACATTGTTTTATCCATATACATCTTCAAGTTCACAGAACATAGGCCTAATTCAACAGGCAAAATAGAAAAAATCTCCAATCATCCTTTTGGGTAAGGTAGATTAGTGCAAAAAAATATGAACAACAGTGAAAAGTATTGTTTAAATCACATTCAACCATAGAACAAGCTCTAAACACACGGTCCTCTGGTCTACTCATCCTTCAGCCAGTTGCTGAGACAAACCAACTTGTCCACGTTCTCTGAGTGCAGAGCAGACCTCTTCTTGTTCACAATGTGCCCTGCTACAGAGAACAGCCTCTCACAGGGCACTGTGGAGGCAGGAGTGGCCAGGTATCTGCGAGCAAGGCGGGCCAGCTGGCTGTGGGCTCCTGCATGAGCTGCCCACCACTGTAAGGGACAGTCCTCTAAGGCAGTGCAGGGCTCTGCTCTGTAGCGCTGTATGGCTCTGTCCTGCTGTACCTCCTCCTCTGACTCAGAGTCAGAGTCCATCTGCAGCAGGCTCAGCCTCTTCTTGGCTGGACCTTCTTCTGCAGTGTGTGATCTTCTAGGAGAGTCTTCATGCAGCATGCCTGCCAGTGTGGTCCACACTGCTTCTCTGTCAGTCTTGGGCACACTGCGTAGGTCTTTAAAACGTGGGTCCAGTGCAGTTGCGATCTGGAGCCATGCATAGTTGGTATGTTCCTGGCGGGAAGCAAGGTCTTCCTTAAACTTCTCTTTAAACCTCACCACATATGCAGGGTCCTCATCAGTTACTTCCATGACACGGCGCAGGTGGCAGAAGGCTGGTAGAACTACAGAGCAGGAGACGTAGGCCTCTCCTCCCAGCAGTTCAGTCACATATCTGCAGTGGAATACACACACACACACACAGATAAGACAGCAAATTAAAAAAAGCTTTTTAATACTAGGTAATATTAATAAAATATTTGATTTCATTTATTTTTTAAATAAGACATTTTCATAATAACAAAACTGATTTAAGATGTATGTTTGATACATTTAATCTAAACCTACAATTATGGTCACAATGACAGGCTCACCTGCAGGGCTCTAGAAGTGTCTCCAGTCTCTGGAGTTTGTCCCACTCTGGAGGCGTCAGGAGGACAAGTTTATGCTTTTGTTTATCCAGAGTCGCGGTTACTGCAGTTTGGTTGCGGATCAAGCGCTTCACCATCTCCAGCGTGGAGTTCCAGCGCGTAGGCACGTCCTGGGCCAACGGCTCCTGCTTGCGCCCCAGTGACACCTGCTCTGCGTTCAGCTCTGCTGTGTTTGCTGGGCTGTGCTTAAAATGGCCAACAATTTTGCGGCATTTGGCCAGCGCAGTGACAAAGCCACTGTCTGCGAGACTCACTGTGATGCATCTCTGTAGAATGTGCGCGGTACACGGCATGTGATTGAATGGCATGATGCGAGCCGCGGCGATCATATTGCGCGCACTGTCCGTGCCTACTGTTGTCACCTTCTCCTCAATTCTCCACCTGCGAGCAACAGTCTGGAACTGCTCTGCACAAGCCTCCGCAAAGTGCCGCTCTTCCGTTTTCATTATAGTCAGCGCAAAGGATGTCAGACCCCAGGCTTCAGTGATTAAATGCGCAGTAACTCCCAGGTAATTGTCATTACTCAATGATGTCCAGTGGTCTCCTGTCAGAGCCACGCATTCTGTGTGAACTAAAGCCTCTTCTTTTTTCTTTTTCTCCGTTTCATACAGTTCGTGGATTCGAATTGTTATTGTGCTTCTCGCTGGGGGCTTGTAGGACGCGTCCTGAGATGCAACCTTTAAAACATCCGCAAAGCCCTTGTCCTCCACAATGCTTAGCGGTCTACAGTCCTTTGCTATCCATTTGGCTATATTGTCGGTCAGTTTGTCCAAAGAAGACTTACCGAGTGGCCTGCGTTCACTAAGAGTGGTCTGACGCAGGCCGGGTGAAGCTGCTGCCCCGACAAACGCGTGTTTGGCATTAAGGTGGTATTTTAAGGTCGAATTTGAACGGTGAAATTGAAACTCTTTACTACAGTGAGTGCAAATTACAACGCGTTTGTTTATTGTCCCATCTATGTTCTTCTTGTATTTAAATTCCCCATCCAGAAGGCCATCCTGTTCCTGCTTCTCCATTTTCAGTGGCGCGGTAAACAAATCAAGTGGAATTATGGGAGCGACTTATCTGCGTGTTGCGCTAAATAGTTAAATATTCTAACGTAATTAATTCCAAAATTTAATTATCGCAATTAACGCGTTAATTTCGACAGCTATAATATTTATATTTTGTAATATTTTTTTAATTGGCTTCATTGACTGAATATTAGTCATACCCTTATCCTTTGAATATAATTATGAATGCCGAGTTTTATTTATTTATTTATTTATTTATTTTTAGGCATTATACCTGAACCTGCACAGCCGTTCAGCTCAGAGAGCATTTTAGCTCTGATTATTTAAACTCCTTTTATTTTGTTTCACTGCAGCTGTGAAACAGACTCATCCTGGGATGAGGCCCCAAATGCATTTCAAATAGATTCTGATGTTTCCTGCAACAAGCCGATCAAGAGCTCAGTGAGCAGAGACGTGTTCAAAGGAGACCAATTCAAGTTTTGTCTGACAAACCCACTTGGCTCCTGGTGCAAAACCCATTACATGATCATCCCACCTACACCTCAGCCCTCTATTGGTAATAACAAGTCTCATGAATATATTTACTGAAAATATTTGATGAAAAAAAAAAATCTAAACGTTGTCATGCTCACATTGTTTTGTTTTGTTTTTTAGGTAATCCACCTGAGGAGAACTCCTTCCTGCTGACACTATGTGTGGTTCTGGTTCTGCAAAACCCATTACCCAGTATTCTCTAAAGGTACAAAGAACTTTTTATTTACATTACTTTTTAATAAAATGTCAATTATTAATTAATCAATTCTTATTATTGTCCTTGTATTTCTATATTATAGATGGTGTACCTACTTATAACAACATGATGGTGCTGAAAGTAGGCAGTTTGCTTGTGCTTCTGGCTTGGCTGTAGTCAATAAAGAGCTCATGTACCTCATCAAAAATAAAGTATATATTTGGTCTTTTTATAAACATCTTTTTATGAACAAAATAAAGAGCATAGCTCATCATCACTGTTTGACCAGCTTGTAGATGGAGGGCAGAGGGTCGGCCTGTTCACCTCCACAACTGGATGAATAACCATTATCACTCAGTCTCACTCTCTTTCTTTTTTCAGCTTGGTTATAAAGATATAACCACCAGAATTTCAGCAACTGCCATGATCCACTGACCTCTGTGGACATTTCTGAACGATGTCTGTGTAGTCAGACATTTCAATATCTGAGAAGGATCTTCTGTAACCATCAGATACAGTTACCACCCATATATCATTTTATCCATACAGCATGTTACTTGATAGTCTTCTCACAATCATTTAGAGTAAAATCGAGTGTCTTTATCTTTAAATCAAATATAGTGAGCATTTTATACTTATTGCTGGAACTGGATAAATCATATTTAACCTAACACTTTTCATTATCTACCACAGAAACCGCATCTTGTATGTCATTCTTGTGCTCAATAATTTCCAGTCAGGAAAAGTTACAGGCACACCCTGTCAACCCACAAAATTCCTCTCATGTATCAGAACTGCACTCATTTCTGTGTATTTACAGCTACTCTTCAAAAGTTGATTCTGTTCATCTGGACGTAGCGTTTTGTGGGAGAAACATTTCGTCACTCATCCAAGTGACTTCTTCAGTCTCAGCTGACTGCAGGTTTCCCCAAATCTTATAAACAGCACATTTGCATAATGATTGAAACCAGCCCACTGAAGGAACAATGGGCTGGGAGGTCAGTTCCTTAGTCTTAATTATGCAAATTCTCATGACCATTGATCAACAACCACTGATCAAAGCCCACTGATCAATGGCCATGAGTACTATTCACAGAGAGTTGGGGAATGGCTGCAATCCCAGCATTGTAAGATGGCGAAAGATGTACCCTTAGGCCCCCTCCTCGATTCAGAGATGGTCTTTCCCTTTTCACGTAAATGGCTTCCTTGACTCCGCGCTCAAACCAGCGTTCCTCCCTGTCCAGGATGTGTATATCCTCATCATTGAAAGAGTGTCCACTGGCCTGTAGGTGTAAATAGACTGCAGAGTCCTGGCCTGACGAAGTAGCTCTTCTGTGTTGTGCCATCCGCTTCGCCACAGGTTGTTTGGTTTCCCCGATGTATAAATTCTGGCAATCCTCCTGGTACTTAACAGCGTACACTATGTTACTCTGTTTGTGTCGGGGGACCCGATCCTTGGGGTGGACCAATTTTTGGCGCAGCGTGTTTTGGGGTTTAAAAGCCACAGAGACCCGGTGTTTAGAAAAAATGCGTCTCAACTGCTCCGATACTCCTGACACATACGGGATCTCTACAGGTTTTCGCTTGGGCAGCGGTTGTCCTTCTCTCCTGGATTAGCTGGAGCTTTCTTTAGGTGCCTTTCCAGCTTTGACAAAAGTCCAGCTGGGATAACCACATTGACTCAGGGCCTTCTTGATGTGCTGTTCTTCTGCCTCCCTGGCCGCTGTGTGTGTAGGGATCATGTTCGCTCTGTTTTGTAGCGTCCTGATGACGCCCAGTTTGTGCTCCATGGATGATGAGAGTCAAACCTTAAATACTGATCCGTATGCGTAGGTTTACGGTACACATCAGCTTTTAGATGTCCCCCATTAGTCATGGAAATCTCACAGTCTAAGAAGGCTAACCTGCCACTTATTATATCCTCCCTTGTGAATTTGATGTGTCGGTCCACCGAGTTAATGTGACCCCAGAGATTTGATTTTCACCCAGGTTTCATCCACATATCTGAACCAATGGATTGGTGGTGTTCCAGGGTAGGATAGCAAAGCCCTCTTTTTCCACTTCTTCCGTGGACGAAACGTTTCTCCCACAAAAAGCTACGTTCAGATAAACAGAATCAAGTTTTGAAGATTTACTTACCTGGATGATTGAGCATGCATCAAGACATTTACAGCTACTCTGACAGCTTTGTGAAGAGATTTCTACACATGCTGGTGGAGTTTGGTTGCAGTTATTAAGTCAAAGAGGGGGTCGAGACAGGTTCTGAGTGCTACTTGAAAAACTCAGTGTAAATGTTTTGAGGCCTCCAAGGCAATGCTTCCCCTGCCTCCTCATTTGATCTGTAGCATTAAGCTGTTCAACCATTACTCATTGTAAGATCAACTCTTCCTGTATAAATGCAGTAACCGCAAATGTCACTGCCCCCAGTGTCCAAATGTGCAACAACACAAAACAAAAACAATAAATGGCTCTTACACCCATGGCTGCTGTATTATGCTTTTTTTGGTTTCATGGTGGCCACGTTGTTATCCTGTACAAGCCAGACCTGCTCTGAGCAAATTGTCAGTGCAGGGAAGCCCCCAACTTCTTCGTTGCCATAACAGTGGTGTTGTTTTCTTCTTGCTCCTGGCAATGAGCATTGAAAGTTTAAAGTGAATGAAAAAGAGAGAGAGAGAGAGAGAAGCTATGTGACCACAGATTTTTATACTCATGCTCAAAGTATTTCCACCCACGGAAAGTCTGCTTATCATGAAACCAGTCTCTCCTTTACTCACAAATGAAATGTTTGCCTGACTGTATAATACTTTCTCTGCTATAACATTGTATCTAAAACAAACAAATAAATAAATAAATGTCTGTGCACACCTAAATGAGTCTGCTCTTTTCCTGTGTTTCTAGTTAGAGGTGCTGTATTCCATCTGTAAAGCCTCTCTTAGATGTATGGAGTAAGCATGAGCTCCCATGTGACATGACCTCCTTTGTATAGGTGAGGCAATTTGAGCCACTTTGGTTGTGCAGATAAGCAGCATTTGATCTTAAGCCTGTTTCAATAACAACCCCTGGCTCCAGAATGTGCTGAGTCTCCTCCTCTCTAATAGGAAAGTTGCTGTCACTGTTAACAGACCCAGATTTTGCATGTGTTTCTTTGAAACTGGTGTATCAGTGTGAGGACGTGATCTTCAACATTTCCTGCTTGCCTGGTGATACGTCCTAATTTTCCTTACCTCGGCTGAATTGTTGTTTAATTTAGGTAATTGTGTGATCTGCTACTAAATGTCAGGTTAGGCCGCACCAGCGTGGGAGTGGAGATCCACTCTAGTCCAGCTATTTCCTGTTGAGTCCCAGAAGTAATTGATTGGTGGGTTTGGGGCCCTTTTCTTTAAAGGGGATAGAAAGGAGGAAATATGCATGCAGAGAGACTGGATGGGAAAGGGTTGTAGAATACTTTTGAACTGAAGCCCACAGTTGGAGGAAAGCTTTTTTTCTTTTTATTTGGCTGGTTTTGTTTTAAAAATGCTTTAGTTTTACCAGAAGGAAGATTCATTTCAGGGCTATGTGTTGCTTTAAAAAAAGAATTGGACTGAAAACTGCTAGAAGTAACCAGTGCAGCTTTAGGAGGAATAGCCTACCCTGTAATGAGGAGGTGGCCAACCTCATTAAAGAGACTGAGAGTTGCATTCCCAGGATCTTGTGTGAAAACTCCCTCCCCATTAACTCAAGGCCCATTAAGGTAGATGAAAACTCTTTCTCAGGAAGATGCTGAACTAATTTTTGATTGGCTGACAGGCTGATAATGCTAAACATTATGTCCTCGGGCTGCTGGCCAGAATTACACCCCCAGCCCACTAGCCTGCCTTGAAAGAAAAATAAGTCTTGTCTATCTTATTTCCAGTGAGAGTGTGGTGCTCACTAATAAAACTTTTTTTTTTTCTTTTTTTGGACTGAGGCAGTTTTTGCCCATGTGATTTTGTGCAGTAGTAAATCTGTGTAGGAATTAGGTGTCCTGCCAACCATGTTTATACAGCATCATAGTGATCAGCCTTCCTAATTCCCTGCGGGTTAAATTGCCATGTAGGTGGAGTAGTGGAGTTGCAGTAAGAACATTTCCCCCTGCATACCAGGAGAATGAACATTTGGAGGCAGAGAAACATGATTGCAGGTATGTGAGTATTTCAGGATCCTGCAGAATTAATGGCAATCACAAATTTTAAATGAAGATTTTTCGTACAATGTGATGCAGTATATGATGCCACTAGGAGAAAAGCTGTGTTCTACTTAAAAGTAGATTTTACTAAATGACAGTAATGAAGTACATTTTTTTAATGTTTCCTTTTTTAAAGTGGCGGAACTAGAAATCTTTAAATGGGGGCAAATGAGGGGCAAGAGGTCCAGGCAGGGTGGCACATACCTGTTAAGTAAAGCATGTAAAAATATGTAAATAGAGTCAACAAAATATCCACAAAACTATTTATTGTATCATTATCGTCATTATCGGGTCTAAGAAAACAAAGATTGTAGGTAGGTTTACACAATTAGTTTTAGCCATTCAGACTTAAAGAGCCTCGTTCAGGAAATGTGATCCCCTGAATTTGTCTGAAAATGCCATCATTTTCAGTGCAGGTCTTTTAGCTTACGTAAAATTTTCCTGCAGCTCTATCGCTACAGGCTATTCTCATGTAGGATCTGTCTGCTTCTTCCACCACTGAAGCCTTATCATGATCTCAATACCGGCGTCGCGCTGTTTTAATGGATAGCCGTCTGATTTATATTCTTTGCTGACCTTTGTTCAGCGCTAGGGGACGCCAGAGCTCAGAATTGTAATGCTGAATAAGGACCCTGCAGCTAAAATTTAAATCACTGTTTTCCTCCTATTTTACACTCAGCTAACTGTTCTTTCCAGTGTCAGATGATAGTTTCCATAAGAAAATATTAACCACTGCCAGACTATCCGGGGAGGGTGGGGGGTGTTCTGTGTGTCCAGCGGTGCGTTAACCCTTGTTGCAAAGTGTTGCGTAAAGGTCAACAAACACTGCCTGTGGCACCACTGAAGACTGTTCCCATAAGTCATGGACATTTCAGCTGTAAATGCTCTTTCTTACGAGGATTTTGTGAACACTTTCGGTAACGTGGTGGAGAAATGTCCTGTTATAACAGCCGCTGTGTGGTCGAGGCGTCCGTTTGTGAGTTTAAATGCTCTGGAGGCTGCCATCAGTGACTTCATCGACGAGCTCCCAGAATCAGGTGATCCAAGGAATTAGTTTATTAACATTTCTACCCTCTGCTCGGGTTAATTTTTACGCGTTTGTTTAATAAGTAGGCTTGTATCAGTTTAATGCTCTAAACTGGCAGAAATGATCGGTTGTATGTGCAGGTAAAGAGGGGATCCTAAGGTGTCACCCCGATCTGGCCGGCAGGGACCTGCAGAGAGGCACCTTGACCCGGGAGTCGCGCCAGGAGCAGGCGGGAGCCGGAATGGACGCGCTGACCTCGGGGGAAGCCGAGCGCATGGCCCGTCTCAACGAGGAGTATAAAAAGCGCTTCGGCTTTCCATTTGTCATCTGCGCCCGGATGAACGACAAAGCGAACATCTTGCTGCAGCTGTCCGAGCGCTGCCAGAACGAGCGCGCAGTGGAGAGAGCGCGCGGCATCGAGGAGGTGAAGAAGATCTGCCGCTTGCGCCTCCAAAGTCTGCTGCTTACTGATGGCGCGAACAAATTATGAAGTGCCGGAGGTTGAGTTTTGCGCCAGTTTGCCTCTAAACCTCATCACTCCCAGGCTCAAAGGCTGTGGTATATTTTAATTCTGAATGTATCCATAAAATCTCAATCAATAAAACATGTGGATCATTGATTCTAATTAACAATCTCCATAATACAGCTTAGTGTATATACAAGTGTACACTGATGTATGGAAAACAACAGCACTGATAATCATGTCTGTGGTCCGCTGTCGGGAAAGGAGTTCGTGAATTTGTTGTCTCCGCGTGCCATCTGGTGTTGAACCTATCTCAGAGGATGTTTGGCGATGAAGAAACGTCAGTAAATAAGTCCTGAATCAACAGACTGTGGACTCCAGTCAGGGGGCTTCTGGTGGTCCAAGAGAAATTTCTGAAGGGTCCCTGTAAACGAGCACTTTACAGAAATATCCCCCCACCCCTAAATACCATCAATCTTTTCAGAAAAAAAATATATGTACATGTTTCCTAAAACTTGGATTTGAGTTTCAGTCAAAGTTAAAATGATCCCTTAAATATGAGTTCAGGTCTGAGTCTTAAAAATCTTAAAGTCTTAAAAATATATCCGCTGGATCTATGCGCTCTCTCTGGAGCCGGAGGCAGACAGACCGTGCAGAGGGGACACGGGGGGTGTGGTGGGGTGTGGTCCGTTTGAGGAGGAAACCCCTCCAGCGGCCTCCCCCTGGTCTCCAGAGGTGATGGAGGAGTCCTGGTCGGGGTCGGCCCCCCTCGCCCTCCTCCGGTCCTCCTCCTTCTTCCACTTCATGCGCCTGTTCTGGAACCAGATCTTGATGTGGCGCTCGGTGAGGCTGAGGGTCAGCGCCAGCTCCACGCGCCTCGGCCTCGAGATGTAGCGGTTGAAAAGGAACTCCTTCTCGAGCTCCAGCAGCTGGGCGCGCGTGTACGCAGTCCTCGTGCGTTTGTTTTCTTCATTCTCAGTCATCACGTATGACCCTAAAACCACACGGAGAATTAGCGCCCTTTAAAAACAAGAATATGTAATAAAAATGAATTTTTATTAAAATCTGAAGCACTTCAAGTGTAAATTTACATTTTTAATTGTAAACTATGAAAAGTGTTTTTTATTCATGTAAAAAATAAATCTTGAAAATGAATGTAAAGAAGAATCTCCAGCCACTCTTTATTTAACCAGTACTAACCAAATACTTGGCCAAAAAACAGGTGATTATTACGGGGGGTTATTCAAACAGGTTTAATTTAGATTTTAGGGGTGAAGATTATTATAGATTACTTGTTTTAGAGATTAAATTAACATTTTCTTCAAGGACAAAACATATTTCCCAGTGCACGTGATCACCCAGAGCTGAAATTCAAGCAGATTAATTACTGTGCATATCATAAACCACAATCAGGAAGTATTTACTAAAGTCACTGAAAGCTGTATATAAGTTTTAATTTTTTTTTTAAGTATTTTCATATTGTTGAAGATAAAGACCGAAACAATAGAAGTTTTTAGACGCCTTAGAAGAATCCATTGACCGCTTCTTTAAAATAAATGAATTAATTAATTACGTCCACAACTCGATGAGATCCACGTTTTAATGAACTGACTGTTAAAAAATGATCTCTTCCATTTTCAATTATATTTTTTACATTTAAAACAGTCAAGTAAAAAAAACAAAGATTTAAAATATTATAGAAAAGTAATTCTTGTCTTTATTTGCATGTTATCAGTCACGCATCAGTTAGTTTGAAGAGCTTCTAGAGCGTTTTATTTTACCTGAGGACCCTAAATTCCCTCATATAATTTGCTCATTTTGAACATCAATACAAGAAAGACTATTCATTCATTTATGACGTTGAATGTGCAGCTAAATTTGTATTTAATACGTTCCAAATAATAATAATAATTTAAAAAAATGCATTTAATATACATTTATTTTCAAAGTGAAACTGAAATACGCCATCATGCAGACTATTTTTAAATAGATTTACATAGTCAAGTTGTTAGAAATTAATATGAATCATGTGAAGCCACTGATGATAATTATTGCCTATTTGTAAGGCACTAATTTATAGTTTCGATTCTGGGCATCATTCCCGTTACCGTCGTTCATGCTAATTTTAAAAACTTTTGGTTTTTTTAAGTTCATAGTAACTGTTTCAAAATGTCATAGATAATAAGTTTACACTGTCCATTAAGTATCTCAGAATAATAAAACAACGTGGGCCTGCTATATCAGAGTGTAAGTTATTCCGTTTCGACTTTATGAGAGTGGCTCGTTCATACATGACGCTTCTATTGAGAGTTCTTTAGGAGAGAGAATCAGAAGAAATGTTTTCTGGGAATTTCATTCTGATGTAAGAAAAGTACGAGAAATTTATTTACTCTTTTTATTTTAGGAAAATATTTTTTTCCTAACGACGACACTGCTTTTACGCAAACTCGCTGCACGTAAAGCCTCTCCAAGTTTGTTGAAATTCAGTCCACTGAAAACTCTTCCCTAAAAAATACTTTCCTTAAAAAGTTCATTACATGTTAGAGTTTCTTTTTTTGTTCCACGTTATCAAGACCACATTAGAATTACAAACGACTTGGCAATATAAAAGACTATTATTAGGCTGCTCGTGGCTAAAGATAGCGTGATTTGTGAAAATGTTTTTGTACAAACAAAACTCACATTTTTGTGACGATAATACCTCATATGAAGCAACCGCTCACCTCCCGGGCCTTTTACAAAAATGACTGACAGGTAAACTGAAACACCCAGGATCATATTGTTGGGGCCATGATGTCATTAAAGGCCTCAGAAGGAGTTAGTTGAAAGTTATTTGTTATGTAGCTAAATTGTGCAAACATGACTGTCCCATATTTTAATTTGAAGCCCTCTTTGAACTCAAATTAAGAACTTTAACCCCCCTCAGTCAGATTCTGTAGTACGCTCATAATCACACTGTATACGCTGATTTGTTTGAGTGTTTACCTGCCCACTGTCCTTTCCAGGTGTGTGAGTGGGATTTAGTGGTTTTCATCCAGGGGAATGGCAGGTGATATCTGCTCTGTTCCACGGGGTCACTGTAGCCTGGAGGCGGCTGGAGGGTCTGCTGTTGCTGCTGGTGCTGGTGGTGGTGGAGGAGCTGGGGTACGCCAGGTTCCTCCCGCATACTCGGCAAACTGTAAGTGGTAGCAATGTCAGGAAGGCCGGCCTGCTCCAAGGCTCCCATGGACGGCGGTGTGTAGACGGAGTGGACCTGCCTGCTCATGTAGAGGCAGGGTGGCGGGCTGCTGTGGCTGTAGTCATCACCCTGTGATCTCTGGTACGCGCAGGAGTCTTTAAAAACCTGAGAGGGATAAAAGTGATCTTCCCGATTCATGGCTGGCGAGGACCCGTGTCTGCAGGGGGGCCGTTTGCGCACACACACGCACCGTAACCTGCGCCCTACCTCGGCGTAAACCTTCAGCCCTACCTGCCTCAGGCGCAACTGCGAGGCCCTTACTGCTCCACACAGGTGTGTCACTCTGCCACCATGTGATCCTGTAGCGCCCAAGCCATTGGTTTCACTATTTGCTCAAAAACGGCAGGCCGATAGCTCCCAGTTTCCAGGATATTCTGCAGCTCTGTGAGCTTTTTTTTCCAGCCAACTGAACAAGAGCGCGTAAATCAATGCTACTCTGTAAATACCGCAAGGTTTACCTGGCATCCACCTGTGTCTGACCCCAACAGCAGCAGCAGCAACAACAACAAAAACAGGTGACCGTGCAACTGCTCCTTCCACATGTGGGGCAAAAGAGGGAGTTATTAATCAAGAGCGTCTGGAAGGAGCACGAATCTCACGCAAGGCAAGCTGGATTGTCCTCAAACAGCACAGCCATCGACATTTTATATGGATATATCTCTCGTGTGCACACTGAGGTTGATAAATCGATACGTATGGGCGCAAACATTGGTTGACCCGCCAGATAAGAGACGTGGATGGAGAAACAGTTGTCTTGGAAACTCTGGCGAAAAGCTCAAACACCACACACAGCCCACTTTTTTCATTTATCTGCTTTTCCCCCCTCTAACGTTTAAAACGCGCCCATTATACTTTTGTAAATGCATCATTTAACACCATTTCGCACGCATGGACCCACGATCTCCGCACGCAGGTATCTTGGCGACAACAAACAAGAGCTCATGCGGCCACTTCGCTCGCTGCACTCTCGCCGGTGTTTGCTGGTCATTAGGCTTCAGCGGCGGCGTGTGCTCGCGCCATTAAATCAATTAGGCTGGAGTGACTGGACTGAACTCAATTAACAGCCGTGCGCGTGGAGCGTGTCTCCACAGCCCTCGAGCTCTCCGGTGTCGCCTTTACGCAACGCGGAGACGAACGCGATTTACTTATTTTTCAGGAAAAATTACAGGAAGATCGGGCTTTTACCTCGCTGGTGTGTATCAATAGACCGTATTTGCCCGGAGTTCTTCAGAAGCAATTATGCCACTTTCGACTGTATCTTAATGGGGCACTCAGCGATGCAATAAAGTTCAAGTAAACCAATTCTACACAAAACACCGCCTGCACTATGGCTTAATGGTGTTTATATTTGATTATTGTTTCAAAGAGGAAGGAAACAGTTAACCAGAGCCATTCTCCTCTACAGTGGAGACAACGTGATTTATGAAGCATGATGCGCCTCAGATGCACTTTAGCCAACTTTCAAGCTGCAGATTTTTTTTTCCCCTTATGTAATGGCCTAAGCGAGGAGTGACACACGGCTGTAATTGAGCCGTGTGTAATCAGGGCCAAAGAGCTTGACATTTGTCACGTTTATATAATGCTGTGAAACAGTAAAAAATAAAAAGGAGGCTAAATGGAGAGGACACTGAAGGCTTCGGCAAACGTCCACCCATCCTCAAACCTTACAAAAGGTGAAAATACTGTATGTGTTAAAGGGTTAAAATACTTCACTGCCACACATAATCCTCTGGAGACCACTGAACCACAAGCACAGGCGCATGTAGGAGTGTCGGGAAAACAAAGTTTTTTTTCCTCTCTCCTTTGACAAACAAAACCCTTTGTGATAGCTGGTGTATACATGTCAAAAAGTTGGACAGGCGATAACATGTGATTACCCAGTGGCGACTGCAGCGTGGCCTATGTAAACATCATGGCTAGTGAATAATAACAGAAAAATGGTAATGACATTATGATTGAAACAAAGCCTGCTCTTATGGGCGAAGCATAACTGCATCAAACTATGATGAAGAGAATGAAGAACATAAACGTGTGGGATGTGTTATTCAGACAAAAGTTTACTGGGGGGAGGGGGGGCAGCAACTGAACCCATCATGAGAGACAATTGTCCACCTTTACAATCCGGTGTAACAAGAACTTAAAGTTTCGTGTAGCTCATTCTGAGCAAAGTCAGCAGATCCTCTCAGGTTTAAGTCCACACACACACACACACACACAGTTGGGCTATTTTAACTCGTGGAGTTTGTGTGTGTGCGCGCGTCTTTGTCTCGGCTCGGTCTATCAGTGCGTCTCCGTTCTCTGTCGCCTCCGTGGCGTCTGTCTTTGTCTCTATCCAGCTTCTTATCTCTGTCTCTGCGGCCGTCCCTGTGATGATGTTTATGATCAATGTGGCCTCCATTACTCTTGTGATCTCTGGGAGGCGTCCTGCTGCGGCCTCTGTCTGGGGAATCGCTCCTCAGGCGCCCCCTTGCGGTGGAGTGTCCGGCTCCAGGCTCGCCAGTGCGGCGCTGCAGGCCGGTGGAGCGCAGCGTGTTGAGGAGGAAGCGTTTGTTGGTGCTTCGCAGAGGACATTTCAACCTGAAAGAGAAGTGAAGGACATGAGGTTAGTTAGACGTGTTACACTTACCCCTGCGACCATTAGAGAGACAGATGGATGGTCGTCACTGAGGTCAGAGCTAATAACCGCCACACAGGACTCACAGGACAGATTCATCTTTAAAGGTCCTCGCAGACAGAGCTGCAGCCACCGCTGAGGATACTGAGTGTTTCTGCTCTTTCCGCCTTTGAATCCTCATGAAACTGATTAAAAGCTGGCAGTATTTTATGGGCTGACTCCAGCATTAAGCCTCCCTCAAAATCAATAAACAGTTCTGTGATTTTCCACACAGATTTTATCTTCAGAAATAGACATTAGACATCTCTTTGTGGTATTTCAAATATATATTTTTTAAAACTTAAAAACTCACACTCAGTGGCTTAAACTGGGTGATTTGGATTCATGACATCAGTGTCAGATTGTCATACAGGTTTAATTGAGATCAAAATGTTTTACAGCAAAAACTTGATGGAAAAAAATGACAATTTTAGTTTCAAGTTTGACTACTTTAAATGTAAATATGAGTGAGATAAAAAGTAGCAATAACTACACAGTGCAGACAAGATCAAACATTCCAGGATTTGCCAGGACATCATGGTGTTTTTACATATTACCAAACTGGTTATATATAGAATAGAATAGAATAGAATAGAATATATGACCCTAGATTAGTTAGAGAACCTTATTAATGGCCTTAAAGCATGAACTCAGTGCAGAGAAAAGCCAAAAGCAAAGCAAACGTTTTTAAAACTGTATTTTTGCTAACAAGAAATTAATTGTCTCGCATGCTTGTTACACAATACCAAACATTTAACTACAGGCAAATTAATGGAAATAAACCCCCAATATAAAGCATTTTAGTAAGAGATCTAGTGACTGAAAGCCATGACATAAAATTTACATTTACATTCATATTTAAACCATTTAGTTCCCTGAGGATGGCTCCTGGAAGAGACGACTACCACCGGGATAGAACTTTTTCATCACAGGAGAAAAGCCATCGTTTAAAATCTTCACATTGACTTTCAATGAGGGGACAAACCATGCTAGGAGACTGCTCTCTGCCACTCAGGCGCTTATCCACCAGTCGAGAATACGACCACTTGCTCTCAAATGTGCACTGTTCATTGTAATGAGGGATGAATGCAGTGCAGCTCTACTGTAATTGTTTTACAGTAGGGCGGTTCTTGGTGACAGTCTGATTACATCCTGCACTGACATCCTCATTCATCTGAGAAGGAGTTGCTCTTTACTTTTACTGGGTGCACTAATGCACGACCATCACTTTTATCAAATGTGTGCAGTCGACCACAGCTTCCAACCCCGTTTTACTGATGCCTTTCCCATTGATCTAAATAGCAGAGAGCAGCATGGGACCATAAATCTAAACACATTCAATGAAAAATCAATCAGTGCCTTCCATCTGTCCTCCTATCAGTATCAGATATTCTTTTTTTAGTACAATAACTTTATTGTATGTAATGAATCCATGCTTCCTCCTTCAAAATGAGTTACAGGCCCTCCGAGTACGCCTTTTTATAGTCTACAGTATTTCTCCAGAATTTTTGAATACTCACAACTTAGGAGGTGAAAAACAAATTGGAGCTTTGTTAAAAGCAGCAACCAAACCGATGTAACGCCTACTGCAAGTGTCAGGAGCTCAAGTTTTAAAAAGGATATATTAGAGTTTCAAAAGCAAAACTGCACTAATTTAATATCTGTGCCATAGGATAACACAAGCAGGCCTTTATACCCTATTTTCTTTTCTTTATCTGTTTTTTGGTCCAAAAAAATAAAAAAATAAAAAAAATAAAAATAAACATTTGGGTCAATTTTAAATGTCAGATTGGAGGCAGGTCAAAACAAGATATATCATTTACCTACATTTTTACACTGGGGCCACCTTCTCCTTTGAAATCAAAATCATTTTCTAACACAGTCATGATTTAATACTACTTTCACTCTCACAGATTTTAAATTTGTGCTGTTTTGCTATTGAAGCTCGGATATATTCCATAATATTGATGCTCAAAGTTTGCTCAGGGGCTATAGAAAAACACATTACACTGCCTCTACTATGAACATCCTGTCTAAGATCATTAAGGACAGCGTAATGGGTATGTGTGTCTATTTTAACTTTCACTTCAAGTTAAAATAAGTTTGTATTTGATGCATCTTATTTGTATGCACTGCTCAGGGAGATGCTCCAAATGTCATTGTGCACCTGTACAGAGACAAATACATGCATTCTCTCCTATTGTAGGATGTGACATTTTGAGCAGGTGTAAAGTTTATATGGTTGCACTTTTTAAACGGAGTATAAATTAAATTAAAGGTTCATTTTACGTAGATATATGTTGTAGAAGAAGTTATGAGGGCTTAAGACGGTAGAAGAAATAAGCCAAATTAAAAAGTGCCAAAATCTGACCCACTCATGTCCTCTTTGAGGGACTGCAACACTCAAAATTTTCATTCTGAAGGTAACATTTTGGGTTTATTAACCACACTAAAATATATATATAAATAAATAAATATATATATGTATACACGTGTGTGTGTGTGTATTTTGTTGTTTTAGTATGGAATGGCTCTGCTCTCACTGTACTCACTCCTCCTGATGAAACACCAGGAGTTGTGTGACTGTCACATAGATACTTTTTCCCATTATCCCATTACTTAGATCATAATCTGAATCAGCAGGACCTGCCTAGGATTTTCCTACATGTTATGGATGCCAATTACTTAACATGTAGTGTTAAGTAATTGTGGTGCACCTTCGACCTTCAGTCATTTTTATTTGTCCTCCCTGTTCGCACTGGATTAAAATTTGAGGTGGGTGGATCAATCCAAAGATAGTATCGATAGTATTGATACCAACACTGGTTTAGACACATACTAGCACAATAGGAACGATGCTTTGCTTCTATCCTCTAAGTTCAGTATGTAGCCCAGGGAATTGCTTTAAATCATTTTTTAGTGAAAAATATATTTCAGGAATTCACTATAAAAAAATTACAGGAATCTTTTTTAGTGTTAACCTCCACATCAATTTTATTTATAGCTTATAACACATTTAAGCTAGAGAATCTAACCTAGCGTGCTGCAGAGACAGGCACATTTACACTGCAAGTCTCCAAAAAACCCAATGCCACAAAAAGCTAAAAGATGCATTTTTATGTGTTAACTAATTGTAGTGAAAAGTAACAATCACAGCGATTTAATGCTCATTAAATCTGTTGCAAATGAATGACGATTCATTCATTTTCCTTTACAAGTTAAAATTAACGGTATTGGTAGGGCTGCACGATTAATCGTTAGAAAATCGCGATCTCGATTCATACTTATGTGCGATCTCATTTCCAAATGACAACGATTTTAAAAAAAAAAAAAAAAATGATGACGATTGTACCGCATTTTGATCCGGGACGTAATCTGCATGAAAACAAGCGCTCACTCTTCCTGCTCAACAAATGACAAGGGCGAACATGATGTTCTTATGTTTCAGGTACATGGGCCAGACATGGCCGTCAAAAAGGCTAGGTGGGTCTGGTACCAGGTAGTTTCTTGAGCAGAAGCTGTGCCATGTGATGCTAAAATTAGCAGGGAAAAAACAACGGAGAGCACGTCAGGGATGACGAGAAAGTGACAGGAGAAAATCCGTCCCGGTCAACCACCCAAACATCAATAACGGGAACCTTATACAGCGCTTCCCTATACCTATACCCGTCGAACTCCCGCAGGCACAAAGAAATTAGGAGGCTCTTACATATCACCTGACCAAAGATATGGCTCCCATCAACACTGTGCAAAACGAGGGATTTAGGAAAGTGATCAACGCCGTAGACAAACGCTACACAGTGCCATCCCGCAACTATTTTTCTATTGTTGCACTACCTGCTCTATACAGGCAGTGTCGAGCAACGGTGGAGACGGAATTTCAAGCAGTACAACATTTTGCGGCAACAACAAAACGTGAGACATTTGTTGTTTTTATGTTTATTTATTGTTTTTATGTTCAGTCTCAACTGTTACGAAGTTGATGTGCAGTTAATAAGTGCAATAAATATTTATACTGGAAATATTTATACTGGAATTTATACTGTATACTGGAATTATTATACTGGAATTATACTGGAATTTATACTGTATACAATAAATATTTATACTGGAAAAGAAAATCGTGAGAGAATCATGATCTCAATTCTAAGCCAAAAAATCGTGCAGCCCTAGGTATTGGTATCAGCAATACTCGCCATCTATGTACTTGGTATCAGATCGATACCAAAAATCTGCAGTATCGCACACTACTGCAGCCATTTTCATTAGTTCAAGTGCAATGCACACATTATGTGAGGCTCAACTACCAAGCCTTCTTACTAAAGCAGATAAGTAAGAGTCAGACAGATGGCATGTCAGACACTGTGCTCACCATCCTGCAGGGCCCATGGTCTCTGCTCTCACGCGGGCTCTGTCAGTCTCCCTGAGGAGCTCCTCCACTGCACGCCTAGATGGATAAATAAAGAGGAAAAAACGTCAAACACTGTTCACGTGAAGGGGAGGGAAAATGAGAAGCCGAGGACAAAGATGGCGCAAATCCTCAAGGGGGAGCCAAGGGGAGAATAATCTAATTAAGTGAGAGAAAACGGAGTGATGCGGAAGAGAAAGTGAATCATCAGGAGCAAAAGGGGAACAGTGTCCTGGTTTGACACGAGCTGCTGAATCGGCACAATCCCAGCAGAGGAGACCCGCTGATCTACTTTTATACAGGACAGGGAGCTCATGGTGTGTGCCACCACGAAGGCATGCTTTCCATACAATCACAAGCTCGTCTAACAACACAATAAATGAGCATCTTTTTTTACCGACGGAGCGTTGTTACAGATTTAGAGGAAACCTGCGTTCACCAGTGCGCAAATACCAAGTGAGGACAAATATTAACACACTACATACTTTTCCAGCTCATTATCTTCTGCCATCGCGATCACACGCAAACTTAATTGCGGTAAAATCGATGGATGGTCGTTAATTAACCCAACATCGCTTGTTTACCTCCTCGCGAGGTCCTCCGACCGAGGACCCCGATGATTTTTGCTGCCCTGAATAATGCCCGATCATTTTTAGCTTCACCTTCCACCCGTTTCTCTTTTTATGTTTTCTACCATCTCCCAAATAACTTTCTTGGTCAGTAACCGACTAAATCGTTATAATAAAAAAAAAGAAATCATGATATTTCAGTATGGGCTCATTTTATCACACAGTTAACAAAATCTACCCGTTTAGGAAAACGAAAGCGATGCCGTAGTGGTTATTTTTAATTCCCCATTTTACGGTAAACTGGTATAAAGCTGCTGTGTGCATCAAAAATATTAGCTTAACTTAAGAAGTTGGCAGTGTTTTTGTCGTCATTATTTCTGACCATCAACCGACCTAAATTCTGGTGAGGTTTCTTTATTTCATTGCACTGCTTGGTGAATGTTATACGTCAGTGGAAAGGTTTTTTTTGTGCTAATTAACTATTAACATCTCTCAAAACTTGTTGAGAAAGGGAGACACTCTCATCTTTAAAAGCGGCATTTATCCAAAACTGAAAGCTGCAATATTAAGTTTCACTTATTATTTAAAATAAAACTAAGTCATGTTAATAAGTTTTAATCTCACGCCCCCTTTAAGCCTTTATAACAGTAGTCTACAATGTAACCAGTAATCTTCAAAAATAATAACTTACAGTATGAATACTTTTATTTATTTACGTTTTTATGTTTGTTCCATGTATTTATTTATTTATTTATTTTTTATTTATATGTATACTGTAGTTACTTGATAAATTTGCCCTTATATAACGTGCATATATTATATATATATATATATATATATAGTAATATATATATTATAAGTTATGTGTGTTTATTCGTGTATCGATTTACCTATGTTTGTCTGCGTTACAAATGTATACAGTTATCTATTTATTTTGATGTGTTTGCTGACTTATTAGAATTTTTTTTATACATAAATATATTTAAACACATTTTGTTTTCTTATTTATTTATTTGTCTATTTGTTTTTTAATTATGTATTTACGAAAAGGCGGTCTTAAAGCCAACCCCTAGCTCTCCTCTGGATTGACAACCGTATGCCCCGCCCACTCGGTTTTGACGGACAGCAGTGGGCGGGGTCAGCGCTGCCAAAGGCACGGGGGCGTTTTCGTGCGGGTTTTGCGGAACGGTCCGTTGCGGTGGATGCGTGATTGAGGTCCCGCGGCTAATAATCACCCCCCTTTTTGGGGCCGGAGTGCACGGCGCGGAGGAGCCGCCGGAAAAGGTAACGTCACATCACATCTGCCTGCGCGAGCGATGTCAGTGTGTGGCTGGCTTTGCTTTCTATGCTGCTGTCGCCTCATCGGTCCCAGGTTTTTCCGCTTGTGGGGAGGGTGGGATGGAGTCAGACAGATGGGGGGCAATGATTAAAAAAAAAATTCTGATATATGTAAGTGTGTCGGGCTTGCGTATTTGATCATGACACTGCAGTGGGAGCGCTCCCAAGGTAGATCAGGTCTATGCCAGAAAAAAATTATTGTACATGTAAATTAAATCAGTGTCATTTTTTTTTGTTATCTTTGTGTGTCTGGGTGGTGTGGAGGGGGGTGGTTTAAGAAAAAAAGGCAGCCTATTGCAACAGACCTTGCAGAACAGCAGCAGCAGCAGGCCTGTTCCTGCAAGTGGCTACCAGAGCCTTTTTTTTAAGATAAGAGAGATGGGGTTTTATGAAAATGTAGGCTAAGCCGAGAGGACCTGAGATTTTAAATCTGTGGCCTAAAACATCATTTCATCTTCTTTGAAAATGTAATTCCTGCACACTGGACTGTCGTGTCCTGTAAGATTAGATTGTCATTTCGAACAATAACCAGAGAGACAAGAGTGTTATTTACTGAAATGGAAAGCAGTGCAATGACAATAACAGCCCGGCCTTGGACTCTCATACACACATGTACACACACACTGTGTGGTGGGATTAAAAGAGATATTCTACAAGCATTTGCCAGTCTTCATATTGCTTGTATAAAGGAATCCGTTGCAACAGCTCTGTTTAAAACACATTTAAGTGCTTTTCACTGCTCTGATGTGCCGTCACAGTGAAAACACGAAGACTTTACTTATTGATAAAGACCATTCACAGGTACCTAAAAATGCCCTTGTGCTCGACGTGCGTGTTTGCTTTTGGTTGTGTAGACTTACGCTCGCATGTCTACGCGTATATGTGTTTTTATATGTGTGTTTGTTTGTGTGTGTGTGTGATGTGGTGATGTCACAGCTTTGTTATAGAAACAGAGAAGCCTTGTGTCCTCATGATTAATTCATGTCCAGCTGCGGGATAGAGACAGAAGCAGCCAGTCACACGCAGACAAGAGGAGCACGTACTTAAAGGAGGCTGAAATAAGTAACTACCGGTGGGGTGGCCAAGGAGACAGGAGGGACAGGTTGTCACAAGGAAAAAAAAAAAAGACCCAGACGAGATGAAAAGAGCAGAAAAAAAAACGACTCAAGGGGACTCTCATCATCATCGTCTGCGCTGTCTGACAAGCTTTCAGGCTGTACCGAGGAGGAGCAGAGCATCCTGCTGAGAGGAGTGCATCTGTTGTGTGGCTCCTCTGCATCCTTCTCTGGCTACACTCTGAATGTCAAGCCCCACTGAACAGAACGGGATCCAGGTCGTCATGGAGACAGGAGCAGACCCTCGCTGGAACAGAGGCAGGTAGTCACTGTATCTTGGCTGGCCCGCTGAGCGTAGAGGCACGCCCTCTGCTGTCGGCTGATAGCATATGGCCCCTCGGAGGCTGGGCTAATAGAAGGGCCGAGGGGGTCTGAGGGGCTTTGGATGTGAAGCGCTGTGGAAATGATCAGCGCACACTGTGGTGCATTAGCTCTGGGGACACGCTCTGCTCGCTGGAGTGCTATATTTCAAGACTTTGCTTTGGGCGTGTTCTCTTTCCGTTGTAGAGGAGACTGAGTTCATCTACTGTACCCAGCCTGAACCAAAAATATCAAGCGTTTTCCTTGGCTTCGCCCCCCTTCCTTTCATCCTCTCTTCCATTCCATATTCTTATTCTTCCCTTGTACCTGTTTTCACATCCCATTGATCTCTTCTTCTTTTTCTTCTTCCACCTGTCTACACTCCCTTCCGTATCTTGTCGGCACCACTTTCCTTTTTTGTTGCTTTCCCAAGCTCACTTTCTCTGATCTGTGCCCTCTTTCTGCCTCAATCCCAGATAATTCCCTCTCTGTGGAATTGGAAGATTGGAGCAGGCGAGAGCAAAAGAGAGATTATACTGCCAGATTAGTGGACAGAAGCAGCAATACATAATCTCAGCAGTGACATAAACGTGCACACACACACACACGCGGTGTCACCCTCAGTCTCATGCAAACACGTGGGCACACGTGCACAAAGTATTTGCCACATGAATAAATGCCCAACACTTGTTGTCTTGTTTTTTTTTCTGAAACAGCTGTTTAACTCTCTTGTTTTGGCCTCTGACCCACAGGGTGATGTGCCATCAGCCACTGGGGGGCATTTGTCCTCTCCGCCACCTGTTCAGCCTCTGAAGCTTATGGGATAGGAGTGTGTGCGCCCCTTCCCAACCGCTCTGCATCCCAGCTGGACTCAGTCGTGCCAAAGCTGAATTGCGTTGAAGGAGAAGACATGGGCAGCCCGGGCTCCGAGGTGGGTCTGGCTGGGTCCGTGGAGCCAGCTCTGGAGGCTCTGTGTCCCGAGTGTGGCCAGATCCACCGCAGCTGGGAAAACCACCTTTACAACTACCGTCTGGAAGTGGACGACGATCTGGTGTGCCACATCTGCCTGCAACCGCTGGTGCAGCCTCTCGATACGCCATGCGGACACACCTTCTGCGCCCGCTGCCTGCGTAGCTTCCTCCAGGAGAGGGACTTCTGCCCTCTGGACAGGACCCGGCTGCAGCTGCAGGCATGCCGCAGGTCCAGCATCCTGGTGCACAAGCTGCTGGACAAGCTGTCTGTGTCCTGCCCTTTGACCCCTGTCTGCTCCCTCAGCATGCCTCGCTGTGACCTGGAGGCGCACCTTAAACACAGGTAATAAAGCTTTTATGCAGACAGATGAATGCATGAGATCATTATGACACCGTGCATGCAGTCAGGATTTCATGAGCTTAGCTTCTCAGCTAACAAAGCCACCAGGCGATCGGTTGAACATCCTTTAGTAATAACCACAAGCAGCATTCAGGGCCAATCCGTCCTTGTGATTGGCTTGTTTTTCAGCTGAACTAGTGGAGATATCACAAATCAGAGTCCGCATCACATAGACTTACCCACCATTCTTAACCTTAAAGGTCTCCCCCATCCCGTGCACACGCTTTGGCTTTTGGCCCGTTTGGACCAGGTGCTGTGAGACCCTGCAGGGATTATTGGGCTGTAGGTCATGTGACGGGGGATTAGTGATTCCCTTTCGACAGTCATGGGTTGGCTGACCAGGAGCCTTCGTGTTCTCATTCTGCAACCATGCTGAGCAACTTCAACACCAGAGATCTTTTCAACCACTTCTTCTGTGAGACAGCCAAGGGCAACCCCGGCCTGTGGTGAGTCGAACGCAGTGGGGTGTGAGGTCAGCGTGACTCAGAATGACAAAAAGACATTATTTACTCGCTGGTTTCCACTGTTTTTGTTATTTCAGTCTGTCTCTCGGTTTGCTTTGCCTCTTACTCTCTCTGTCCTGCTTCCTCTGTTGCCATGTCTTGCACTGAAGTGCACGATTACGTGTGCGTGCATGGGTGTCAGGCTGTCATTGCTGCTTCAAGGATGTAATTCGTGCAGTATGTGATGATGTGTTTGTGCCTGGTTAAGGCATTAAAACCAGTGCTCTTGATCTTTAAGCAGACTCCTTTCTAGTTGAATTTTGACGTTGGTTTGTTGACTGGTTTTTCACTGTCCTCCTAACACCTCGATTAAGTTGAGGAGATTTTCCTTAACAAGATCAGGGTAACAGACTATCACTTACAGTCCTTTAAAAGCTTTTCTGAGTCAGCTGTTTTTCTATAGAAGAATCCCTTTTAAAGAAACGCTGTGTAGCAAAGTGCCAGCCGGTGAAGCTGAAAGTCAACAAGATAACGGTAAATGGTCAAATGTTGCGTAACAACACCAGTTGTCGTCTTCTAGTGAGGCTGTAAGGGCAAAATCTCTTGAGTGTATCCCCTTTAAACATTTATTCTTAAAAGTATCCGCATCCCGGTCTTACCTCAGGAAAGAATACATGCGTAAGGTTGTGTTGACAAGATAAGGAAAGATGGTCTAAGAGATCACACAAGGTCACCACGAGGACTAACGCGACATTCTTTAGCAAAGCTTAAATCTCGGCCTCATGCGAACTCACCGCTCCCCTGCAGACTTCGGTTTAAGATAGCAGCCAACAGCCTGCCGTTGTGTTTGTGTGACTTTAAAAGTCAACATTGTTTTTGTTGAAGATTAGGGATCAGACATTAGATTCAAAGAGGAGGACACGGTGTTCCACGATGATTACGGTGGGCTGCTTCATTTTGTTGCCCGTGTACGTGTGAGGAATGAACTTTCACTGTCCCTGGGAAAAAAAACAAAGGAACCAAATGACTACATCTATGTGAGCAGAAGTCTTTGTTTTTAGCATTTACCAGTTTTCCTGTCAAAATTATTTGTTCTTTGCAAAAACGAAAGATTAGACAAGGAAGGAAATTCATTAAAGAAAACAAAATTACTCTGTGTCACAAGGGATTAAACACCTGTCACCTCTAAGCTACCACTTACAGTAATAAAGGAAATTAAGGCTGACACCATACTGACCCTTTGAGGGAGTCGTTGTGCGTTTATTTTTAAATTGTTTCTAAGTGAAGTGTTTCTATTTTTGTAGGCGAAGAAGGGACACGTCGTCCTGTGTTTCTTTTTTAAGGAAACATTTTATAATTAACTTGTAGCTCATTATGTGATCTCAGAGCTATCAGCAATTTTCTCTGTTTTCAGCTCCTCAGATGTGAGTACTTGCTAGCCTTTGCCTTTGGGAATTTGGGAAAGACGTCTTTTTTTGCTGTTTTATGGCTTTGAAGTGCTTCCTAGCATAGAATTCCCATTCTTCCCAGAGCTTTAAGATCTTCATGTTGCTTGAAAAATTAGATGATGTTATTAATTCAAGCCAGTTTGAAGGGTCAAGGCTAATTTACAACTGAAAATCACAACCACAAAAACAGACTTTTTCTTTTTTTGCTTCTCTTTCCTGGGATTTTATCCTTGTAAAGCCTGAACCAGGACAAAATCGCCAGAAAATTTTAATTTTTAGTGTTTATTCAACCTTCTAACAAATTTTAAAAATCAAAAACCTTAAATATGAATTTGCATAGTAGTTAGGGTTAAAAAAAACCCTCACTATTGCACTATTCAAAGTGTCAGCATGTTTCTGGAGCTTCACTTGTGCTTCACTGATTTAATTTTGGAATTTTAGAAAGAACCTGTTAACTAAAGTCATTGTAAACTTCAGCAGTGTAAGAAAACAAATCTCTCAAGTTTTCTTCTCTTGTGAGCGAGCACCGCATCAAGTTAACTGAGCTTGGTTTTCTTTACATGTCGGATGGGGTGATACGCTGACACCTGTTGCTTGATGAAAGGTGTCCAGGGATGCAGAGTCAGCAGACAAATGGGGACGGTCCACGATGCGAGAGCGGGGATGAGCGAGCAATGGTGACCAGCCCTCCCAGGTCACCGCATACACCACAGACAGACCTGAGGGACCGCACGCCGTCACCGCCCTCTGGACCCAATAACAGCTGCGGTAATGGGCCTGTGTGGACAGATGATGCCGGCCTTGACAACCCAGCCTTTGAGGAAAGCACCGAAGAAGACAGTAAGTTGATCTATCGGCCTTGGATTGTCAGTAAAGTTAATAATATAGCTGTCATCCATCTCTTCGTGTCCTTCTGCCTGTAGGTGTAGTAGGGTTGGAGTGTGTGGTCCCCAGGGTGAAGCGGCCCCTCAGTAATCCCTGTATCCATCTCCTGCGCTCCGTTAGCTCCACCTCCTCTGGCTGGGACTGCCCTGAATCCCCGCCTCTGTCTGCTGAGGAGGGTATGACATCATCTGTTCCTTTCACTGAGGATCTTCTCAAAGGGACCTTGGATAATGAAATACCTTACTTCCTTGCGAGCTGTAGTCTTATAGAAAAAATGGATAATCACATCCAATCAGCTTTGTACTAAAGGTTGCAAAGATGTGGAAATTACTTTCTTAAGTGAAGCTTTTTTTGATAATGTCACTGGTGTCTCCTCTAGGCTGTGTGAAGCTCCCCTCCCTTCCTGAAGGAGAGATAACTGCCATAGAGGTCCACCGTGCAAACCCATATGTAGAGCTGGGAATCAGCATTGTTGGTGGAAATGAGACGCCTCTCATCAACATCGTGATTCAGGAAGTTTACCGAGACGGGGTCATTGCAAGGGACGGGAGGCTGCTGGCCGGGGATCAGATACTCCAGGTGAGAGATCAGTTTCAGGTGTAAATTTTCAGTGTTTTCAGAGAGTGTTTGGAAGATTTGTTGAAGACAAGAGCTTAATAAACATTTTATTAGGAGTCTGTGGGAGATGTGCTGCAGATAGTGCAGCGCTGAGAATATTGTAAACAGTGGAGTAGGGCACATTGTTCTGGATATGCTGTGTGACTGCAACATTTCTAAATTATCCTGACTATCAGTTTCGACATTGTGTTTTGGGGAAAAATATCTATGTATATATTTTTGGATAGTTTAGAGCTTCACTTAGAAATTAGCCAGTTGTTTTCTCTCAGCACCACATTTACTTTCGTCTTAGTCAACTTTCTATTTTTGGTCTACTATTAAAATCAATAGTCTTCTGTTAATGGTAATCAGATGAGTACTTGTAGTTGAAAGGGATCACCCTTAGTGAGCAGTTCACTAATAGTCAAGATCTGTAGATGTTAGCACCCTTTGGCACACTGTTGTGGTTTCACGGTTCTATTTACGGTCCATTTCCCTGAGAAAGCTCGAGAGCAGACAGTTACCTTTCAGACAGGGGAAGCTATAAATGCTGTATTTCTTTCTCAGTTGTTTTTGGTGTTGACCAAAACAGAGCTAAAAGAAAATGAGTGTGCGACTTAAATGCGTCAGATAGCTAAGAATCTGGTCATGTTTCAAAGCTAGCTTGCTCATCTAGTTTTTATTTTCCATTCCTCTCCACTCCAAGGTGAACAATGTGGACATCAGTAACGTGCCACACAGTTTTGCTCGCTCCACCCTGGCCCGCCCCTGCACCACCCTGCAGCTGACTGTACTCCGGGAGCGTCGCTGTGCCTCCCGGGCACCTCCCTCCTCTTCCTCCTCCACCCCAGCAGTCCCCCATGCCCCCTGCTCCACTCCCGAAGTCACCCCACCCAGCCCAGCCACTCTGAGAATCACCCTGCATAAGCGAGACTCCACAGAGCAGCTTGGAATCAAGCTGGTACGGCGAACGGATGAGTCAGGGGTGTTTGTGTTAGATCTCCTGGAGGGAGGCCTGGCTGCCAAGGATGGCAGACTGCGGAGTAACGACCGCGTGCTGGCAGTCAATGAACAGGACTTGCGACACGGCACCCCAGAGCAAGCTGCTCAGATCATACAGGTGCAGTTTGTTCATTTGGGTCTACAATCCTGGATTTCCCTTTTGGTTTTACAGACAGGGGCTGAAAAATAATTTTGCTACTTCAGATTTGTCTCTAAAGCACAGATTCTGCCCTTTCAGGCCAGTGGAGAACGAGTCCACCTGCTGATTGGCCGACCCAGCAAACCAACTCCACCGCCGCCGCCAAAATCAAGCTCCACCAGAGACCTTTACTGCCTTGATCACTTCCTGCCTAACCACAGCTCTACCCCGAGTCCTGTGGCCATACACCTGTCCCGCACCAGCACCCACAGAGTGAGGACATGACTTGCCCTTTTTGTTTCACCTTTACTTCGTTATAAAATTAGATTTTATGAGATCAAAATCTAAACTCAGGTTTAAAAGTAACACAATAAAAAGAGTATACTTTTTTTCTTTTTTTTTTTTGCCGTATTGAAATCAAGCCTGTGTTTCGATTGCTCCCAGGACCTGTCCCAGTGTGTGACCTGTAAGGAGAAACACATCACTGTGAAGAAGGAACCACACGAGTCTCTGGGCATGACTGTCGCAGGAGGGCGGGGCAGCAAGAGCGGGGAGCTGCCGATCTTTGTGACGAGCGTCCAACCGCATGGCTGCTTGTCGAGGGATGGGCGAATCAAAAGAGGTGAACGCTTCCTCTGGACCGATTGAGCCACAACCCAAACATCACATCAGAAAACCACTGCATCTTCTCGCTTCCTCTCTCAGGTGATGTGCTGCTGAGCATCAACGGGCAGGATTTGACCTACCTGAGCCACAGTGAGGCCGTGGGCACCTTGAAGGCCAGCGCTGCGTCGCCCTCGGTCCAGCTGCGAGTGCTCGAGGTCAGCATGGTGGAAGAGCAGGACCATGATGAGCTGCTGCCTCACACTCACGACAGTGACTTTGATGCCAACTGGTCCCCCTCGTGGGTCATGTGGCTGGGCCTGCCCAGGTGAGCACACAAAGGAAATACAATATAGTTCTGGATGTGTGATTGTGTTTTGTGATATGGTGGTGTTGTCAGCAGCTTCAAACAGGACATTATACAAGAAAGAAAAGCTTGTATCTTCATTAAATCTCATGTTTTTCTTGTTTTTATCTTAACTAATTATATATTAACTTTCTGATTTGTGGGCTTTGTGCTGATTGGTTGGTTATTTGTCACATTTTCCCATTTTTTACTATGTATTAAAAATATCAACATGAGCGTCCTGAATCTGTTCGTGGGATCATAATCAATCTATCTGTCTGTCCATCTGTCTGTCCAGCCCTCCTTCACTCTGCTCTCCACCCTCTCCTTGCAGCTACCTGCACAGTAGCCATGAGATTGTTCTGCGCAGGAGCCATCCTGGCAGCTGGGGATTTAGCATCGTCGGGGGATATGAGGAAAGCCATGGCAACCAGGCGTTCTTTATCAAGACCATCGTCCTCGGCACACCCGCATACTATGACGGCCGCCTCAAGTGAGTGATCAGTTGTGCTTTATATGATAATCTGTGGCTTACAAAAACAGGGGGGAGGGGAATAAATAAATAACTTTGTGTGATTTTTACTTCAGGCTTTAAGAAGAAATATGTGTATAATGATCATTATAATCCAGGCTGTCTGCTTGAGGCTTTTGAGGCTTCAGCAAGTACAGAGCAAAGGGTTAGTTCAAGCTCTGCTGTAATCCTGGCAGATCAGCTGAGCTCTGTGACAGCCTAAATTGGACAGTGGCTCATCTGATACCTTTCATCCAATTGGTAAATCTCAGATAGGGCACTCTGTTTAAGCTGCTTTAGCCTGCCCAAAGTTGTTGCACAACTGCTGTCCACTTTGCAACCCATCACCACCCTGGCTCCTCCTTTTCACATTGTGTCTGACCTAATCAGTGTTTTCATACCTGATCTCCCTGTGAAATATAAATTACTACAGAAATAACTACTCTTTTGATTGTAGTGGTCCTGACTGAACTTATTTAACAGTTGTAAAGGCTCAAAAGGCCCACATTTGTAGTGTGCGCTTATTTTTTATGCTAATATTTAGAGGCATAACTGTCTTATCTATTGTCATAATGCAGCTAGCAAGCAATAAAATAATTCAGTTCTGTAGCTCATCTGTCCATATATCAAAACGAATAACATCTATTGTAGGTTTTAAAAAGTTACAGTAGATATGTCTTCTCTCTGAGTATTTTCCTTCCTTTCTCTGTACCCTTTTTGTGTCAGTACTACAAAAAAATATTCAGAATAAAGGCTAATCTTTCCTCAGTGATTGAAGAATAAAGGTAGCGATATTTTTTTTTCCTTTTGCCAAAAAGTCTTTTTGGGAGAAAAAAAGCAAACAATGAAATAATCCTAATAAGTATAATCTGTATGCCACAGAGCTTTGTTTTCTAAAACCTATTAAAAACACCTCCCCTAGCCACTCTGTTACACAAGGTTACATGTTACTAAAATACAGCTGCACAGCTTATTGTGGGAAATTCATAAGTGCCATTAAAGATGTTGGAGTTCAAATTGTACCCTGCAATTATTTTAATTGCAAATTAATACTCTGATGATCACAGTCATCTCAAAAGGCTCGTCTTCATGTATGTAGTGCTGTTTGAGCCCAAAGCTATCAGGTCCTGTTTCTAAGCCTATGATAACATGTCTCTCTTTGTCATCTCAGGTGTGGTGACATGATAGTGGCAGTCAACGGCCTGTCGACAGCAGGAATGAGCCACTCGGCCCTGGTGCCCATGCTGAAAGAGCAGCGCAGCCGGGTGGCGCTTACTGTAGTCTCCTGGCCTGGCAGCCTGGTATAGCTGGGCCAGATCATGAGCAGGCTGCGCACTCCATAGAGTCCACCCAGAATGTTCTATATTGGGAACGACCTTGGCCAAAGTGAACTGGTACGTGCTACTGTACATCGCTCCATATCGGGCTTAATCCAGGACCAAACGCATTCAGAACTACTGAAGACCCAGCAGGACCCAAGCCTGTCCTGACCAGGTGGGAACTGATCCAGATCGTGCCACGTCACGCGACAGACTGCACTCTCACACACACTGCTGTGATCATATGGTCATGTTGTCTTCACTCCCACGGGGAGAATAGTACTGCAACTGTTAACAGGCAATCTGTGCTGTAGTCACCTCACCAGGCAGTTGTAGAATCCAGGGCTATATTCAGGTGGATGCATCGGTGCAGGTAGAGATTAAATATTTTTGAGGAGTAGTCTGCGATCTGCTGTGATCTAGGATAATGACACTTAATCAGTTTAATCGAGATGTTCTGCAAGACCAGTGCTGTATCCAGCTGAATGAGCCTCAGGCCTTATTAGAAACCTGCCGCACCCTTGGGGCTCAACTGCCCTTAGGCCTCATCACCATGATAAACCAGCTGCAATAGCAGCTGGAGTTTTATACATGTGTTTGAATGTGTGCTGTTTGTTTAATAAACACTTCCTGCAAAGGATTCATGACTCTACAGTGTCATTTTCTACTTTGTAAGCGAATGCTGAAAGCCATTTTGGCATATTACACCAACAGCTATAGAAGCATTGCTGCAGTAATAGTGCATTGATGAGGCTTTTATTCAAACAAAAACAGAAATGTGATGTTTCATCATTAAAGAACACATCCAGATCTTAACACAGCCTCAAGGTCTGTCATTCTCCAGAGTTGTGCTGTGTAGCTTTGCAGCAAGCTCGTTGGCCTCCGCTTGATTGGCTGCAGCTGCCGGTCCGGCCCGCGGTGCCATGGGCCGATTCTTTTTAGGATGCAGTTTCTGGAAGAGGAGTAAAGAACCAATGCTGTAACATATTCAAGGACAATGTGGGGGAAAGCCATCACCCCAAATCCATTTTAAGGTCAATAGTACCTTCAGCTTTTTCTTTGCTGGGTCATGCACCACTCCATGTCGCCACAGGCTTTCCTAATTAACAGAAAAGCAAGGAGAAAATAATTTAGTGTCTGGATTGGGGAAGAAAAAGAAAAGCCCTGCCATATATAATGAAGGTTACAGGAAGTTGATCATCACTGAAAACAATGTAGTCTGAGAAAAATCTCAGTTTGTCAACCACGTCATCACCATTGTTGGACAACACTGGCTTGAAAGTTATACATTTTATTCTATACACTGAAGTGCAGGTTCACCTTCATGGCAAAGCTCTTGTTACAGCCAGGAACAGCACAGCTGAAGGGCTTCTTCCCCTCATGGTCTCCCAGCACATGGCTCTCCAAGTTGAAGCGGCGAGTGAACTTTTTCTCACAACCTTCTTTGGGGCACGGAAACATTCTCTTTTCCCCGGAGTGGACGCGAAGCTCATGCAGGCGCAAGAACCAGAAGTTGCTGAACAGCTTGTTGCACTGTCCACACAGCACCTTGTCTGAGACCAGAGGAGTAGTTAGCGTTTTACAGCTGGCATGAGTCACATGGCATCAGTGCTTCCTAGAGTTTCATTTATACCTTTGTGTTCTTTTCTGTGCTTCAGATAATTTGACCAAGTTTTTCCCTGAAAAGGACACCCTTCAATCTCACAAGGGTAGCCTGCCGCAGAAAGACGAAGGTTTTACTTGAGCACACGCTTTAAGAGAAATTCACTGCTCTGGTACAAACTTACCTTCATGTATTTTCTCATGATGCTTCAGTTTTTTAAGAGTGAGAAATTCTCTCGTGCATCCAGTCAAGGAACAACTTGAAAAGAAATAAGAGGTTAAATTTGAAATGGTCAAATACATGGAAAAAAACAAGTCCTTGCATCAGCCACTCACTGAAAAGGCAGACTCTCTTGGTGCTCACACTGATGAGCTTTCAGCTGGTTCCTCTTGTTGAATTCCTTTTCACAGCCCTGATGATCACACTGAAAAAGCAGCAGAATTAAACAAATATAACGAAATCACAGGACAACTTAAAAGAAAATAAGCCTAGCCATACTTGAAATCTCTTTTCCTGTTGCTGATGGACTCGGGCCATGTGGTTCTTCAGGCTGGCGTTCCTGACAAAGGCCTCGGAGCAACCATCAGCCGGACACCTGGAGAGCAAAGAAGGTAACTGTTCAGAGCAATCAAAAGTCCTTTGTTTTGTTTTTTTAACCTAATGACTTGACATTTAGGCACAAACTGCTTGCTTACTTGTGTGGCTTTTCCCCACTGTGACTGAGCTCATGTCTGGTGAGTTGGTAGCGGGTGCAGAAGCTCTTGTCACAGCTCTCACAGGAGAATGGTTTCTAAGGTTTAACATAAGGCCAGGGAGCACTTAGCAGCCATTCAATCCGCCGCATTCAATTCTCACATCAGCTATTTATTGTTTCATGCTTCTAGCATTTCTGAGCCACTTACCAATCCTGTGTGTTTGCAAAGGTGAGCATCAAGCCTCCACGGTTTACTGAATGTAGCTTTACAATCAAAAAATGAGCAAACATAAGTTTTTTGACTTTGCAACCTCTCCCCCATCTTAAATAAGAGATGTCAGGTGTGGCCAAGGAGTAAACTTTTGTTTTCTTTTTCGTCGCTGACTGACCTACTTCCACCACATCTCGTGTATTTAATTTATATGATTGGAATGTACCAATTGAGGCAAAAGGGGGTGTCGTGCCTCAATGAAATGATAAAATGTTAAGCATTCTGTACTCACCTACATTTACGGGTTACTTAATTTAGCATGTAAGATGCAAGAAAATGATTTAGACCCAATGATACTCAAACATTATAAAAGTCCAAGAGTCTTTCCTCTACAATGATTGATACAGGCTTTAAAAATGTCACCCGCAGTCCTTGCAGTAGGTTTCTCTATCAGCTGATCTGCTGTGTGGCACACAGCCCCAGAGAGAGGCGACTGCCTGTCTCCATTAATCACACACACACATTGAATTTACTCCACTAATCTTACTCTTATCAACCCTCCAATAAGGCTCTGTGATTGGTGTGATTTATGGTTGTCTGAAATATTTCTTCAGTGAGCTCCTTTGTAAGCAGCACACCTGAAACTAAATCAAATCACCTTTGAAAAGAAGACATTAGTGCAAATAATATATATATATATATAATATTGATATATATAATCATATCATACTTATATCATAATACATACCATACATACATAACTATCATACATACAACATTATCAGATTCAATTCAATTCAATTTCTTTATTGTCCCACAAGGGGAAATTAGTTTAGCAGCAGGAGGATAAAAACAAACAGAACAATACTATAAAACAATAATAACAATAATAATGATAGAAAGTTCAAGGACAATTATTTGCCATTAAGGAGACAAGACGCAGTAGGGATAAAAGAGACCTGGAGTCTTTTAGTCCTCCTCGGAGGTACTCTAAAACGGCGGCCGGAAGGCAACAACTCAAACTCACTGTGAAGTGGATGGTTCACACAATTAATAATAGAATGAGCCTTTCTAAGCACATTTCTATTGTAAATGGCCAAAAGTTCATCTTGCCAGCGCCCTGAAATTTTGCTAGCAGTCTTTACCGGAAGTCCCAACCAAATTATACAGCAGTATCCAAATAATATAGAGACACTATATCAACAAACTGTACTTAATAAACCCAGGATGTTTGATATTTTATAAATCCAGTGTTGCAATAGAACAAAAGTGTTCTTTCACACATTTTTAAGCCTTAAATAAATTGAGCCCACATTTTAAGGCTTTAAAAAAAATAATTCACTGACAATCCAGTGACATTATCTGCTTGTCTAAACATTACAGATCGCCCTGTGCGCCCATGCCGTGCTCTCATGTGAAACCTTTGACTGATTTTTGTGAAAAAGGCCTATTGAGAGCCTGTTGGGCGTTACCTCAATGCCCTCCCACGCTTCAGGCAAGCATGCTGGGGTCAGTTGACACTGTTATCAATGTCCCCCTTTTTTTCTTCCGGCTCCTCCCCCGACTACCAACACCACCGCCACCTGTGCTGTCAGGGACGGAATCAATACAGCTGGCCCAATACCTACATGTATGGCCGTGCCTACACCTGTCTCTGATAACCACACAGACTCTCACCCCACCTATCACACCCACAGATACTGCATGTTTGACCTGCAGTGGGATTTTCTTGTGCTTTTGTAAGCCCTTCAGGCCTATCCCAAACACTCCGTCACACCCACACTTGCATCACATTCTCAGATATTAGTCTCACAATCTCCGAGGGTCTTTTTTTCCAACCAAGAACAGGGAGAATAAGAGGGATGATGAGGCCTCAGATGGGAATAAGATCACAATGAAAACCGCCAGTTCACCCATATGGCAAAAATACATATCCTTTGTTGGTTTTCACTGGAATTTCACATGGGCTCCTCACAGCACAGCAACTAAAGTAGCTAACTCAGTTATTTCAGAACTCTGGGCTAAAGCAGAAGGTTGAAGTAACTGTAGCTAACTTTCATATTTACATAAGATTTTTAAGCAAGTTTAATAATGTTACAGATAAGTAGAAAAAATAGTTACAAAAAATAAATAAATAAAGCTGCTGGAACATGAAATACCCCTAACATCAATGTTTCAGCAGCAATACAGTCTACTGCACGTATAGTTGAATATTCTCTTATGAATCTTTTGTACATTTACTCAATCGCAATCATGAAAATGGAAGAACTCCTTCATTTTTCCTTAGCTACCTGTTTTTGATTTATTTATTTTTTGAGAAGCAGCATAGAGCACATGCAAGGAGGATCTACCCATCGCTGAATCTGTTAGGAAATACTCTGAATCATCAGGGTGAATCCAAATAAAAGCCAACAACACACAGAAAGGTGCCCTTAAAAAAAAAAAAGACTGCAGTGCTACAAATAACTAAGTGTGCCCCGTGACTCAGGAGCTTGTGGAATCACAGTTAGCAGCAACAACTTCAGGGCTTTTCTTCTGTATTACTTTATCCTGTCTCTCACGTCGGCATTGTGGAATGTTGTCTTTTTTTTCAGGTCCCGCCACAGCATTTCAATCAGGTTGATGTCTGGACTTTGACTGGGTCATTGAAACATCTTGATTCTTTTCAGCCACTCTGTTTTAGATTTGCTGTTTTGCTTGGGATCATTGTGCTTTAAGTTGTTTTTTTTTTATTCTCTAACTATTAAACAGATGTGGGTCCAAAACAAGTTCAAATCATGACCCCTCCACCACTGTGCTCACAGCTGGTATGAAGTGTTCGTGCTGACGTGCTGTTTGACTTTCTCCAAATGTGGTGCTGTGCATTACAGTCAAACATCTCCACTTTGGTCTTGTCTGTACAAAACACTTAAGAAGTCTTTGTGGTTTGTTTAGATGTGGCTATGCAAACTTAATCTTGTTAAGCATGTTCTTTTAGCTATTAGAGGCTCCCTCCTGGCAACCGTTCCAAACAAGCCATGCTCGTTCAGTGTTTTTCTAAATGTGCTGTCATGAACTTTAACATTTGTCCTCTTCTGGGAAGACTGGAAATCATGGCAAATGTTGAAAAACAAGTGGAACGATGGATTTCAGATTGTTTGGAAATGGCCTTATAACAGCTACCAGATTGATGGGCAGCAACAGCTGTTTTCCAAAATCATTCCAGATGTTTTTCTTGGCATTGTACTGACACGCACCTGAATGCTCCACACCAACAAACTAGTAAAACTTCATCTGTTTTTCTAGAGCCAGTCACACTTAGTAAGTGCTACTTATCCTCTCAATTCCCATTGAAGCAGTAACGGTGTGTTTTGTTTATTACAATTGTTTCTCTTTTGATTTTTCTTCCAGTACTTCCCTTCAGTTACAGCTACCACTTTTCAGAGAATAAATCACAATGGGAATAGAGCTTATTGGGACATTTTTACTTTTTTTGAGAGATTTCAAACCCTGGGCAGATTAACCAAATAAATCTCAAAGATAATACTAACTCTGTGTTATTCAGGTAAAGTGGGAAAGCAGATACTTGTGAAATGTCATATCTGCATATCTTGCCATGTAAGTTCTCCGCATAAAACTCTTGTCTGTGTCCATGACCAACTATCTGCTGTTTGTGTGTGTGTATGTGTGTGTGTGGTTAATATGTAACGTCCTGGGTCGATACAGCTGCTCCGAGCTGCTGGCTGAGCTGACAGACTCAATCTGTGTGTGTCAAATGTGTGATTAAGGAGTTCATAGTGCTCCGCGGCTTTTATCCACAGGCCTCGTCTTTCTGCCCTCCTCCCTCTCGCTTGCTTTCTCTCTCCTATTTACACTCTGTTTCCTCAATCAGTAACTTCTATGAGTCAGGGCCACACATGACACTCCGTGTGTGTCTGTGAGAACAAGCGCACACACACAGGCTCTGTATGTGAGGTGAAAATCACAGAATGAAATAGAAGCGGACAGCCAAAAAATCACAGACATCCCTCTTTGGTTAGTGACCACAAAGTCTTATTGAATTTGCTCTGTCAGCTTTTGCATCATCTCCTTGGCTGAGAATAAAAAAACACCCAAAAGCATGAATCTGATTCATAAAAACCTGGGGTGGCCTTTGTCAGAGGACCAATATTTAATTTTTAATTCAAATGTTCAGCCAATATCTGCATAGATGCCATTTCTCTTATCTAGACACTCCAAGTCAATTCCAGACCTTTCCAATCAATACCAAAGGCTTTGGCTGCCAGCCTGCTTATTGACTGATTACATTTTGTTTTTCAGGTTGTTGGACACGTATTACAATGGCCTGATAACGTCCATGCATGAATATCATGACCTCAGGTCTGCAGGGTTATGGATAGGCAGAAATGAGCCTTTTAGAAGTATACACTTTATTTACAAATTCTTCTACAAGTATTTTTTCTCTTTTTAAAAAAAATACAAACTCGGATAATACAACTACAGAAGTAATTTTTTTTTTAAAGTCCCTTGAACTCATTCCTCCTTGCGGGCGATATCTCTGTAAACTGGTCCTAATTTGTGTAAATATTAGGTAGAGCACTGAGGTGGGATGAGATAACCTATTTGTCACGTAACCAGCCAGCCATTCAGCCTCCACTGATTAAACAGCCCACATCAAGCGGTCCACACACAGACACACAAACACTTACATAGGCATGACCCTGTGTACACATTCTTGTATTCAGCCGGGCAGGTGAGGGGGGGGGGGTCATATATCAGCTGCCAAACAGTGAAACTTTATGATTGTTTAAAATATCCTTATTTTTATGAAACACATAACTTAACATACAGTGTGGGAAAAAAAAGTTTTCATGTGACTTTATGCAGTCCTGTCACAAACTAAGTGCACTTTTCCAACAAAGTTGCTTCTGAAGGAGCCACAAGACTTCTGGAACAATGTCCTTTGAGCAGATGAGACCGAATTGGAGATGTTTGGCCATAATGCTGATAACATAATGCTGGTAGCTTATCAGCACAAACACCTCATACCGACTGTCAAGCATGGTGGTGGAGGGGTGATGCTTTGGGCTTCCACCCACAGGACCTAATCCAGTGTTTTACCCTGACTCTGAATTATTGTTCCACATCAAGGCCATCGGTCCCGCAGCTAAAGCTGGGTCGAGACCGATTCATGCAACTCATAGGTACGCCAG